GAAAACAGATTTAACTGCCTTAATAATTCCATCATGCCTGTCTGAGACAATATATTCCACAGGACGGTGTTTGAGAGCTAGCTTAACTCTTGATAGAAACCAGTGCCAATTTGCATCATTCTCGGCATCACACACACCAAAAGCTAGTGGGAATATTTGGTTATTCCCATCCCGCGTAACTGCAGTTAAAAGTGTCCCTTTGTAATAGGATTTCATAAATGACCCATCAATAATTAGCACTGGAACACAATGGGGCCAGCCTTCTCTCCAGGGTGCAAGAGAGATGAAAAAATACTTGAACAAGTGGTCAGGCGTAGTAGTGAGCTGAATCAGAGAACTGGGATTAGCATGATTGAGCATAAAACACATGGATGGCAAGGCAGCATATGATTCTTGAACTGTCCCAAAACAAATTTCCAGAGCCTTCTCTTTAGCAAACCAAGCCTTCTTATAAGTCATTTCAATTCCATGCTCCCTACGCATGTCGGAAAGAATAGATTTGGGGGGGTACGGCTTCGTTGTTGCATCACAAAATTTGTGTTTAACAAGCTCTGCAATAATGTGATACGTAGCTTGACGTGTTTTGCCTTGGCGCGCATCGATGGGGCATTGATGTTCACGGTTGTACCTAGAGGGAAAAACACATGAATGATATCATTAACATGCAGAATTTGTGAGGGTAAGAACATGTATTACTTTGTTAGTAGGTGATGTTTGGTTCATAAAAGAACATAATGTCCTGAATAAGGCAGTGGCATGTTACGGCATTAACAGATATAGGCATTAACATCAAGCATTTTTAAGTCATTAACATGGATTGGGAGTAGACCTATGGGGTCGTTCAAAGTCTGTAAAAACCTAAAGTTTGTTAGCTAGAAGATCATAATGTCCTGATAAGTCTGTAGAAAGCTGATGTTCAATACGTAAAGCAAACATAATGCCCTGATAAGGACGTAATCAGAATAAGGCATTAAGCAGATAGGAATTTTCGCAGTCATATCCGGAGAATGGAAACGGATCTATGATTTCATTCGAAGTCAGTAAAATAGGTAATTTATGTTACCAAAGTGATCATAATGTCCTGATTGGTCTATAAAAGAGGTAAGGTTTGATAAATAATAAAACATAATGTCCTAATTAGGACGTAATCAGATTAAAGCATTAACAGAAAGCATTTTTTGATTAATTAACATGGATTGGTTACTGACTTATAACGTCATTCGTAATCAGTAAAAAGGCTGAAGTTTGTGACATAAGTGATCATAATGACCTGATTATGCTGTAAAAGGGCATTAATGACTGGAAATCATTACACATCATATAGACAATATAGAAACCAAATGCAAAAGGATTTAAAATGGAGGCAGAACGCACCTACGAATCTGGAACATCTCAACACCTGGTAAACGCACGGCCCGAACAGCCCATGTGCAACGAGGAAAATCCACACAGACAACATGAAGACAGGATTTTTTGGATGTTCGAATCCGGTACTNCTGCAATCAAGGTCGTTGGTTTGGACGTTATTCTCAGGAATTTCATCTCCACGAAATGTGTCGAGTACAAACCCGGGCGGAAATCGCATTTGTGATGGTATAACGCCTTCATCCCAAATGCACAAGGTTTGGTTTGCTCCAAAATCAGAGAGAGAGCCATCTGATTCTGTATCTTCGCAGCCGCTTGAATTGGAGACGGAATGATGACAAAGAAGAGGTTGCTGTAACTCCGAAAGGACTAAACCTCCTTTAGGAGCGACAATTTCAGAAGAATTACCTATTTCAACACACAAAGGGAATTCACGTGTACCACAGTGAATGCTCTTCAACCGAATGTATGCATAAAGGCTCGTATCATCATCAATCACAACATGAGTCGAGCATGAATCAGACATATGTGAAATCTTAAAAACTGAATTTTCATAAGAGGATGGTACCGTATCACGAATGACCTCCAACAAATCAGTGAATGATGACTGAAGCGGAATGTCGATCTCATATGCATGTGTGTAGGAGAAGCCACCATGGCCGCCCCATTTTCCGTCAAATTGCAACAGACAATGGATGGCAGCCGGTTTTGACGATACAGACGCAAGCAATGAAGCAAACATGGTGTTACGCTACTGTGAAGGCACGAAGAAACTTGGTGGTGGCCGGCAAAGAAACTTGGTGGTGGCCGACTCTGCTTTGGGGTAGAAACCTAAACCAGCGGGAGTTGCAGCGCAAGTAAAGGGATAATGGCTAAAAGGTGGGAGAAGTTATTAATCATTATCCTGAAAAAATTAGTTATAAAAGCAGTGTTTTCCGTACGGGAAGGGTAAAATTGGGTGCACGAAAAAAAATAAATCCTATTTAAGAGAAAAAAAGATACAAGTCCTATTTAGGGAAAACACACATGTTTGGCTCCTATATGGAACAAATTTTACATACTCCTTTTACGTGATCGCCTCTTTCTTCTGCGATCGGATGAGAGCGCAGCGCCTCCCTCTTCTTCAATCCACGACACGCGATGACACCAACGACGAGGGACGCTGACCATAACAACGCCGGCGACCATGGTGATGGCGTGAGCCAATTCAAGCGCCGACCCCCTGTTTCTTTTCGGGTCAAGCACAGCAGTGACAGCACGATAGAACCTACGACGGCGAGGCGACAACGAGGAGCAGTGCCGGCCTCCATCCTCTCATGGCAATTGTGGCGACGTTGATGGCGAACGATGATGGGGAGGTGACGTCTAGCGACGGTGACGAACAAGTCATCTCCGGAGACCGCTCTCCATACTCCGGTGATCTTTGCGATAGTGGTGATTGGATTGTCGAATCAGCAACCTCCATGCTCCGGTGACGGAGTACGGGCAGCGGGTAGTTCCGTTTAGTAGCAATTAAACCACCGACGAGATTGACCCTGATGTTTTCCGGCGACCTCCGTTAGCGGCGACAGTAGTCCCGCGAGGGGTCTTATGGCAGCGGCATCCGCGCAGCAGGGAATCAGGGCAGCGAGCTGAGCTTGGACAATGAATAGGTTCGGACAACAGCGACGATGGTGCCGTGGCAGCCTGATGATCAATTCTGGTGGCGGTACATAGACGACTCTCTATATTGAAATTACATTAATTGAGAAACAAGAATTACGGAGTATTATTTTTGATATATCGAAGTCATTATTTACAAAATGTGACCAATAAAATCAAATTAGAATATTAAATCTGGACGAAAGGAGTAATATGGAAGAATTTTGCCACTTAGTAAAAATTTATGCAATTGAGTAAAGACTAAAATCAATATTTGTGACAAACAAAATATTTAAAATCAAGTTTCATAGAATATAATTATATTGAGGATGTAACATAATTGTTCTCTATTATAAAATATAAATTACTTATGGTAAGAATGTGCGTGTTCAATTAGCTTTATTCTAAATAGAACGAATCATGGAGTACTACCTAAAATTGTCATATTCTAAATGGCAAGAGTATTTTCAAAAATACATTCCCAATATAAAGCTACTAAAAAATGTATATGCATATAAAAATATGTATCAATGCATAAACAAGGCATGTGTTATATAACAATGTTGTACAAAACTCATTCAAAAATGCATGCAAAGTATTGGGGTTATTTAATCGTGATAAAGAATTTATTGAAGGTATAAAATAATCTACTGAGTTAGGATCTCGGAGTCAGCCAAGAAAATTGTTAGTCACACTATTAGAGACAAATACCATGAGTCGTCCTCATGTTGTTTGGGAAAAATCATAGAAATTCTTGGTTGATGGGTTTATATATTTGATTGAAATTGCATAATCAAGATATTTCTATAAAAAGGTAGTTTTTATTATTTATATAAAGAACAATATGAAATGCATGGTACGTATACAAAACTCTAGAATTGAGACATGAGTTGAAATAGTTTAGTTGCATTTTAGCCATTATTTGCAAAACTTATTATTTTCCGAGAAGATATAAAGAGTTTATGTTTGATTGAAATTGAAAAATTACTTAATTCAAATAGATGATCCTTATAGAAGTTTAGTAGTATGACATTCTGGTATGATATATATATATATATATATATATATATATATATATATATATATATATATATATATAACTATAATGAATGAAGACAAGAGGAAGATATACGATGATGAATGCTTTATGTTTTGTTATGACTATGAAAAAAAGTCAATGTCAAACATTGTCATTTGTTAAATTATTTTTAACCAGGTTGAAGTTCACTCATGGTCAACCTTATGATGTTGTTTCACGAGTAAAAACAATACAGGCTTGAAAATATTAATTTTAAATTATAATGAAAATCCTTGCAACCACATCAATTAAACATTTTGTATTCCCCGAGGAATTTCAAACAACTCTGGATTTAAATACGACTTTGAGGTGTCTACTTTTGAATTTATATAAGCATTTTAATTACCAAATACTAAATGCTAAATTATTTATTTTACTTTAATTTTAATATCTAAAGTGTTAAAGAACACATTACATATATTTTCAAAAACTCATTTAATAATATCACATTGCAGATGATTCACAGGATCAACAAAAGTTTCGTTCAACATCATGCGTGGCACAAGTTAAAAATAATAGTTTTTTAATATTCTTGAGACATATGAAAAACGAAATACTAAAAGTTTTTATGGGAATGAATTCAACCTTTTATTATGCCCCTTAATATTTTTCCCTCATTATTTTAGAATAGTAAACTTTTCCTAACAAAAAAAGGAATGTGAAATTTTTGAATATAAAAACAACTCAAACTCTTGTCAACAATGACTCTTGTAACTCTTGAAATTTTTTGAAATAAAAATAACTCAAACTCTTGGCCAAGACATTATTATATTAATGAGTGATCCTTTAATGGTCCAAAAGTCCACATTTACAATGTAGACTTTCTCACATTTTACATGAACTTTCAATTGGATATTTTCAATTTTGCCAAAGGCTCAATTCTTTTATGCTACCAATACAAAAAAATAAACACAAACCCTAGAATCACAGAAGAATTTGCATATATTAATTTGAGTCTAGCTTTTCATTAAACTAAGATCTGTAAAAAGTATTAATTCATGGATTAATGACATACACCTGAAAAAACAAAAAAATATATGATTGATATTGATTTTAAAAAGTAAAGAAATAAGTTAAGTCAAAAAAGTTACAAATACAGTTTGGAATAAAATATAATGGCATAAAAGATATAAAAAGATATTAAAAATTTAAAAACTAGAGTATACATCTTTTAAGTAAAATATGAAATTTATAAAATAAATTAATTATTTAAACATTTTTTCTCTTTTAAAATTTTTCCAACTCTTTCCAGTTTTTCAAAATTTTTCGAGGTTTCTCACACTTATTCTAGTTTTTCAAACTTCTTCTAGTTTCTTCCAACGCTTTCTAGTTTTTCAAACTCATTTCAATTTTTTCCAACTCTTTCCAATTCTTCCAACTTCCAATTTTTTTCAATATCCACATCTGTTTTTCCAATGGAAAATAAAGAGTCTTAGCTTGCATAGTCACCTATTTTCACTCTTTTAATTTACACTATTCCCCTATTTTGCATTTCTCCTAAATTAAATACAGTACCCAGAGAATTTCAAACATTATATTATTTCATCTTACATTAAAAATCATGCCCAGTCAAAATAAGAAATAAGATTCCGGAAGGAATATTAACACATGATAAACACACACACACACACATAAAAGAAAAATAGAGGACTAATAATAATATAATCCACCAAAGATGAGTTGACATCACAAGCTTTACTCATTCATATCTGTCCGGTATGCGACAAGTAATGATAGTGAATTTGATCAGACCTTTCTTGTATCCTTCAATCATCAGCGGCATTGCCATTGCTCCCCTAATTGTTTTCCATCCTTTTTCATGCACACATATATGTACATTATAAAATCAGAATAGATAAAAAAGAATGAAAACCTTCTAACCCGCGGACCTTGAGATTAGAAAAAGAGAGAAAAAAGAGTATGTAGTAATAATGTATGTTAATGATTATTATAATTATTACCGCTCCTTAGAAGTGAGGTAATGCCCTTCCAAGACAAAGCAGACTTGATCACTGCTGGCCAGAAGGGAGCAACATTTTCAGACCAATCCGCGACTTTTATGTCCCGAAGAGAGTTAGATTTGAGCAAGTTAACGTAATCCGCAGTGGAACGCCAAGCGGGGAGATAGAAGGCATTGCATATTTTTTTAAGCAGCTCTTCCTCTTGGGGAAGCAGAGAGTTTTCTGTTGGGGAGAGATCCCTGTGGCACCATGTCACTATTATCACTGTCCCGCCAGGGGCTGCCACTCTTGCCAGCTCAGACACAAACTTGGCTTTGTCAGGCATGTGTTCTCCGCTTTCCATGGACCAGACGAGATCGAATTCTCCATCTGGGAAGGGCTGATTTAGCGCATCTGCAACTTGGAAAGAAACCTGTGGGGGGGGTTTGCATTTTTTTTAAAATTCTGGTTAGTCCAATAGTATATAATATATATATATATATATATATATATATATATATATATATATATATATATAATTAGCCCTTGATTTTTCATAAATTAGCCATGAATAAAATAAAATAGAATAAAAACTTTAACCCGTTCTCCTAGTCCCTGGGCATCAGCTAGAGCCTGAGCCCTCTGTGCTTGGTTTGGGCTAAGAGTGATGCCTTGACATTTGGCGGAATATTTCCTTGCTAAGAACCGAGAACTGCCTCCAATTCCACATCCAACATCAACTATCTTCTTTGGTTTCTTCTCTTCATTCTCTGGATTTTTTTTAAAAAAAATTAGTATTATTTTGCACTCTAATAAAGCATTTCGTACTACAAATATTTTTCTAAAAGGATGAAGAGAAAAAAGTATAAAAATAGTTTTGGGACAAATGGAAATAAGAAAGTGAAAAAACTTTTGTAACACTGACGGGGTATCCTTGTGAAATATCCAGATTGCAGCAATGATACCCAATTCAAAATAATTAACCAATAGACGTACCGTAGGTTAAGCAATAAATAAAAGAGCGATGGAGATGATGCTATAGCACTTATCCTAGAGACAGATGCCATTAAGAGTACTATACCATCTTCTATGTCACATACGCGGATGCAATATAAAGCAGGAAATACTGCACAGAGATATTTTTATGCAGTACGGACAAAATCTCCTACTCTGGGGTCTACATTTGTATAATAGCCCTTCACTCAAACTTCAGGAAAAGTTACACCTATTAGTTCATTAAGAAGCCTCTTATAACCTAATGACAAAATCCCTATTTGAATGCCTTCTAACCCAAACCCCTATTTGAGCTTACCTTTTAGCTACTACACTTTCTTCAAGGCCTCCTCAAAGGACGTGCTAGCAGCCCAATTTCAGATCAGCGAGGTGCTAAAGTTCTAGACGTTTAATTTGAAGAACTAGGAACATCAATCTGATTCGTCTCTCTTTTCTGCACTCTCGTTCCATGGAAGATTGAAGTGCTTCTCCTTCACGTTGTTGATATTAAGGATAATCCATAAATATTATTTATTCCTCTTTGTATAGATTAATTCCTAACCATCATATGTTTATCCCTTGCATTTTTCCTTATCATTAGCAACTGTCTCCTACTGAATAGGATCGGCAACTGTATGTGCGTGTATATATGCTACTTCTCATAATGAATGAATTACGCTTCATCAATTCTATTATATGGTATCAGAGCAAAATAATTTTTTTCTCTTGACGATCCCCTCTGTTTCTTTTTCGATTGATTCCAACTAGTGTGTTCTCACACGATCCTCATTGGGAGAGCAGTTGGCGATCAACCTGCAGCTAAGAAGGCCTACTTGAGCGCTTGCAAGAGGATGGACACGGACAATTTCAACATCCAGACCATCAAACAAGCCCTCGAAGAAGAAGAGAGATAAGAGGAGAACCAAGAGAGGCCCGGACCAGCAGTGGAGACCGAGGAAGTGCTATTGTTCCCTAATGGAGATCTAGAGAAAGTGTTGAGGATTGACCTGGGTCTGGATAAAGATACTCGCGAAGAGATTATCTGAGTATTACGAGAAAACTTGGTCCTCTTTGCGTGGGAATCAAAAGATATGCCCGGAGTCGATCCTTCTGTCATTTTCCATAAATTGAACATCAAGCGACATTCCCATCCGGTCAGACAAAAAAGAGATATCTCTCCACGGACCAGAAGGAATTTGTAAAGAAAGAGGTGAAGAACCTTTTAGAGGCCGGCCACATCAAAGAGGTCTACTATCCTAAGTGGCTCGCTAATGTGGTGCTGGCACCAAAAGGAGACACCTTTCGCATGTGTGTGGACTTCACGGACCTTAACAAAGCCTATCCTTGGACCCTTTCCCATTGCCAAGGGTGGACCAGTTGGTAGATGAGATAGCGGGCCATGAATTATTGAGATTCATGGATGCCTTTCGAGGATACCATTAAATTTTCATGCCCAAAGAAGACGCGGAGTCCACAGCTTTCATCACCCATGAAGGAGTATACTGCTACGTCATCATGCCCTTTGGGCTACGCAATGCAAAGGCCACCTTCACAAGGATGATCTCCTTATTGTTCAAAGAGGTCCTGGGAGAAATTATGGAAGCATATGTGGACGAGTTATTGATAAAAAGCAGAAAAGCGGCAGACCATCCCATCCACTTGGAAAAATGTTTTGGCATTATGAGAAAGCATAATTTAAGGCTAAATCCAAAGAAATGTGCTTTTGGGGTCCAAGGAGGCAAGTTCTTGGGATATATGGTGAACAAGAAAGGAATTGAGGTGAACCCGGACAAGTTGAGAGCCATCCAAGATATGGAGCCGCCCATAAACTTAAGAGAGGTCCAGAGGTTGGCAGGAAGGATAGCGGCCCTTGGAAGGTTCTTAGCCCGGTCCAAAAGGTCCCTACCCTTTTTCACAATTTTAAAGGGAGGGGGGAAGTTTCAATGGACCGTAGATTGTAAGGAGGCCTTAGAAGACCTAAAAGCCGATTTGAGCTCCCCACCGGTCCTCTCAAAACCAACGGCAGGGGATATTCTGTTCCTATATTTAGGGGTGGCTCACTTAGCTGTGAGTTCGGTCCTTTTGAGAGAAGAAGAGGGGATCTAAAAGCCGGTCTACTATACAAGTCGGGCCTTAAGAGGACTGGAAATCAGGTATACAGTCGTGGAAAAATATGTCTTAGTTGTGATGGTGATGGTAACGAGATTAACACCATACTTTCAAGCCTATCCAGTGAAGATAATGACAGACCAACTCTTGGGAGTAGTGCTGAGGGATCCATCCTCCTCTGGAAGAGTCATCAAATGGGTCATGGTCCTCTCTCAATATGACATTTCCTATCAACCATGCTCAAGCAAGAAAGGCCAGGTGATTGCAGAATTTATGGTGGAGTGCACCGCTAGAGGAAGACCAGAGGAAAGAGAAGTGAGCCAGGGAAAGAAAATTTGGGAAATGCATTCAGACAGATCCTGTACTAAGGATGGATCGGGAGAAGGAACAGTCCTCAGCTCAACCGAAGGATTCAAGGCCTATCATACATTCAAGTTCATGTTTCGGGCCACTAACAATGAGGCGGAGTATGAAGCACTCATTGGAAGAGTCAAGGTGGCTCTATTCATGAAAATTAAGAACATTCGCATCAAGTCAGATTCAAAGTTGGCCATTGGACAATTAAAGGAAGAGATGGAGGCAAAAGAAGGAAGGTTGAAGAAATACAGGGACTATGCAAGGACATTGCTTGAGAAATTCGAATATTATGAGGTGATTTAAGTCCCTAGAGAGGAAAATGAGGAAGCTAATATGCTTGCGAAGTCGTGTAGAACCGTTCCTGTCCAAATGGAAAGCATGGTGAGACAACATGAAAAAATCTGTCCAATTTGGGAGGAGGCGGTCCATATCCTTGAGGTATCCGATCCAGGTACAACAAGGATGAGCCCCCTGTCAATATATCTTGAGAAGGGAGAGCTCCATGTTGATCCCAAGGAAGCCCGTAGGGTCCAAATGATGGCTCTAAAATATCAATTGGATGGAGGAAGATTATACAAAAGGACCCTGGGTGGATCGATGCTCTAGTGCCTAAATAAGAGAGAAGCAGAAAGGATACTAGAAGAGGTGCATTAGGGGGTATGTTCTGCCCATCAAGGTGCCCTCACTTTGGCAAGAAAAGTGATACTGCAAGGGTTTTATTGGCCCACTTTGAAGAAAGATGCACAGGAATTGGTGAAAAAGTGTCCCACTTGTCAAGCCATTGCTCCTATCCATGGACGCCCATCCTCTTATTATACTCCGGTCACCACGGCTATTCCATTTGCTAGATGGGAGTTGGATTTGGTGGATCCTTTCACCCAGAGATTGGGAAAAAAGAAGTTTGCCATTGTGGGGATAGATAATTTCACCAAATGGATCGAAGCAAAAGCCCTTGTGAGGATCACAGAGGGAAATTGCAGGAAGTTTGTTTGGAAAGAATTGTTGTGCAGGTTCGGCATTTCTGAGAAGATAATAACGGATAATGGCACCTAATTTGCCGGCACAAGTTTCAAGGACTTTTGTGCTGCATGGAAAATCAAACTTAGTCTAGAAGCCGTGGCCTATCTACAATGCAACAGACAGGTAGAGAATGCCAATAGGACAATAGTGGACGACATCAAGAAAAGATTGCATGAATTAGGCACTTCTTGGGAGGAAGAGTTGTCCTATATCCTATGGGCCCATAGAACCACACCAAAGAGGGCCACAGGGGAAACTCCTTTTGCCTTAACATATGGTTTTGAGGCGAAAGTCCTAACAGAAGAGTATCAGCGACAATCTAAGAAATATCATGACAAGAAAATTTTACCTCGGGCCTTTGAGGTAGGGGACTAGGTTTTGAGGAAAAGAGAGAAGAGCCAACCCACAAAGGGAGGAAAATTGGCCAAGAATTGGGAAGGGTCATACCGCGTATAAAGGGTTATTCGTGCTGGAACCTACCAATTAGCTACAATGGATAACAAGACATTGGACAACTACTGGAATGTGGAGCACTAAAAAAATATTTATCACTAGGAGAACGGTCTGTCCAAAGTTATCTATAATTCCAATCATTCCTCCAAGAGGCATTCCTCGGATTGTCTTGATTTATTTCTTTTTCATTGATTAAAAGTGTGATGAGTGTAACATTTTTATATGAAAGGCATGTATCAATCAAACTATAATTCCATTCATCGGTCCAAGGGATTACATATCTAAAAAAATAAATGGAGGACCGGTCCATAATAAGCCTGCAAGATGGAGGACGGAGCTGTTTGAAGACGAGCCGCCAAGAATTAGCGCGATGGAGGACGGAACTGAGATGGCTCTTGTCCCATGGGTTCAGGAACACCAGGAAGCTTCACCAATGGATCTAAGCCATCAAAATAGGGCTCTATACCAACATAGAATTCATTCTGCTAGGACAGCCCGCCACGGTAGAAGCCCCGGCCGTAATAAAAAAAGCGCTCCGCCTCCATACGAGCTTTGTGCCCCTCATAAGTAAGGCGCTCGGTCTCAAGTGAACGACGGGCCTCCTCAAGCGAGTTGTGAGCAGAGCTTCTCTCCTCGATAAGAGCTAAGTTAAGCTCCTCCGCCTACAGAGAAAGTTGACGCTCCACCTCCTCAGAACGAAGGCGCCATCTCTGCTCGGTCTCCTCCGCTGCTTTCCGCGCTGCCTCACTTGCTTGTTGACGCCATTTACGCTCAAGCTCCTCTTCCGCTTGGCGTAGGTGGAGAACGACCTCTTCTCGGGTCGCCCGCTCACGCTCCAAGCACTGCAGAACTGCCTGATCCCTAGCCGCCTTCATCTCTTCCACATCCGCGACTCGACTTTCTCATAGCTGCTTGTTCTTGGTCGTGAGGCGATCGTTCTCAGACAAAACTCGATCGTACTCCGGATGCTCGACACAGATAGAGTGGCAGGACCAGAGGTCACCCAATTCTTGGGACAAGACGGCATTGCGATCCAGGAGATGGAGGGAATTGCGCTGAGTGGCTGAGGTAGTGATATACTCGAACTGCAAAAAATAAACATCCCACCATGAGTAATAGACAAAGGACAAGCAGAAATTAGAATGACGTAAACAATTAATTGGAAGAAAGGTCCTTACCATGCGAGTATATTCCTCTAGCATAAAGAGCCAAGCAGGACTTTGGACCACATCGGGGTGAACCTTCCGGAATTGATACATCTCGCCGAGGCGATGTTGGAAGTCCCTTCCGGCCCAAGCCGGGTAGTCCTCAAAGAGATGGGCCTCGCGAACGTAAGGGTAAGGCAAACCGGCAAACTTCGTGTCCTGGTGGGAGGCTCATCCCCAGCGGTCCTTATGGCCACGCTGGCCGACTCTCCCGAGCCTTGGGGAGGGGTGGAACTCCGGACTCGCTTACGGCGAGCCTGAGAAGATGAAGACCACGTCTCATATGTTGGACCGAGAGTAGCAAGGGGAGGGACCCGTGGGCGGACATTGGTTTGCTGGAAGCTGGAGGACCGAATAAGCTCTACGGCCTCCCGGAAGGACCGCTCGATGTTCGATCCAGGGAAAGAGGACAATCGGCAGTCCAAAGATGCTCTCTGCTGCTGATTTTGCAAAGTTTTGGGAAGTCGGTGGACGGAGCTGAGATATGACATCTTCCTCACCATAGCCGGAGGGGGGGGGGGAAGTGCCAAGAAGATTCCGGGCTGCAATGGAGCCCAAGGCCGTCCCATTGAACGTGGGGAAGTTCAAGGGACTCCTAAGAACGAGTGGCCCGACCAATGGGATAGATCCCATTCGCATGGGGATGAGAACCCATCGAACCAGCAGGATGAGGAGAAGAAGAACCCCCCCCCCCGCCGCTGCCGCCAAAGAGAGGGATTTGTGGCACTCCTAGGATAAAATTGGGTCCCCTAAGAGCCGAGGAGAAAAATAATAAAGGTTGTCGTCGTTCTCAGAGTCATCCACCTCCTCATCATGCTGGACTGCCTGGAGAGCAAGTTGAAGGGATGGGTCTCCAGTGGCGGTCCCAATCTCTTCTCCTTCAATATCCTCCTCTAGAGAGGGATCTCTCCCGGAGGATCGTCGGGATCCCCGACGGAGCCGTGTGGTCTTGGGTGGAGGAGCCCACGAAGAAACGGTGTTCCCTGATATTGTTTGAAGGGAAGCATCGGGGTGCACCCAAAACCCAAGACCCTGGAAGTAACAGTTCTTGAAAAGGAGGTTGCGGGGAACCGGGTGGCCGTTCTTGAGGAGGAGTGTGAAGATATCCTCAAAGGCGGGAGAGCGTAGAGGAAAGGTGTAAGTCAGGAATTTATCTTCCTTTTTCCTCCACACATTGGGAAAAGGAAGATCCTCGGAGGCCATCGCCACAAAGAAGCGGCAGAACCAATCGTCTATCTTGTCACACAGGCTTTCGAGTAAATGCATGTGCGTCCGAGCCGTGAAGCTCACGAAGCCCTGCCCCCATCACGGTCATACTTGTGAGGGCGGAAGAGAGAGGGGAAAAGAAAAGGTCCAGGCTAGGCTCGATACCCTTTTTGTGGCATCGAGCCAAAAAGCAGAAGATAGATTCATAGGAGTTGGAAGAGATTTGGCGAGAGGGAATGGAGTAACGGTTGCAAATTCCCACCAACAAGGGAGGGATGGGAAAACGTCATCCCCTCTTGACCGAATCGTAGTGGACGATAAGGCGACGGGAAAGGTTATGGTTCGTCTCTAAAGTGGTCCCGTCAGCGGGACGGACCTCGTAGCCTAGGGGGATCGTCCTCCTCATCTCCCTCAGTTGAGCCTCAATGATGGAGGAGACATTTTCCTCCTCTTTAGACTTCTTGCCGCCATTAAAGAACTTGGTGGCCTTGGACATAGCTTTGTTCATCTTGACCGAAAGAGATACGAGAGAAGATGGGGTCGAGATAGATAATATGAAGGCAAGGAAGTATGGATCGCTAGGAGAAGTGAGGAGGAAAAGAAAAAAACCATATATATAGAAGGGAAGAGGGAAAGAGAAACGGTCTAGGTACAGTTATGGTAATCTAGGGACTCCAAAAGGAACCTATCATTCCCAACGGTCCATTCATTATTGCGGTGGGGCATGGAGACTTAATGATCACAAGAACCAAACGGTCCACTGCCACTGCCGTTCCAGATGCCAAGCGGTCCACTACCAAACAGTTTACTGTCCACTGTCACTACTGCCCAATGGGAAAGGTGCTGACATGTGCGTCCTACTGACGGCAATAATTCCCCTATGGCCCGCAAGGTTGGACCATCATTGGGGAACATCCACAAGAATCAGTGCAGAATGGTTCTTCACAAATTGGTGTTTCCAAAAGGAGAATCTTCACAGGAGATGTTATAAATTTTCCCGATTTCAAGATATAAAGTATACTGGAGCTAAAAAAAATTTATTTTTTGAGTTGTACTCCCTCCGTCCCAGAGTATTTGTCCACTTTTGACTTTTTTGGTCAAAATTGGTAAACTTTGACCTCAAATTAAATAAAAATGATATTAGATATTGATACAAAAATAGTTTTATTAGATTTATTATATAAAGTATTTTCAAAATATTATTTTATCTAATTAATACACAATATATATATTTTTTAATTATAGGTCAAAGGTTGAAAATGATTGACTGAAAAAAGTCAAAACTAGACAAATACTTTGGGACGGAGATAATAATAAAAGGGGCATGTGATGGGAACCAAGTGCATCGAGATAGTATAAGTGATTTGGGCCTAAGATAGGTACACAACCCAAACCTTAGAAGAAAGATCCAACCCAGGGATAATATAGTGGGCCGGTAAGAGGATCTATCCAACTAAAGAGGCAAGCTAGGGGAAGAAGGAAGGCTGGGGCCCAAGAGATGGGTTGGATCTCAGCCCATTAAGGCCGGGTCGGCCAAAGGAAGAGAACCCCCACCAGTAAATTAGGGTACGTCGTCCTATTAAGAGGGACGCACGATTATTTCTGGTACAGGATGGACAGAGAATATCGGTCGGACAGACAGATTTCTTCCCAAGTGAATGGCCTTAAGCTGAGAAAGATATTTTTGGGAAAGAGAAGGATTTCCCAAATAATTTTCCAATCACTGCGGATATATTGATAAGATGGTGACTGGGAAATCTCTTATAAAAGGAGAAAGAATTTAGACAGTAGAAATAACTGGTAACAGAGAGAAAGATTTGAGTAATAAAAGATTATTCTGGTGATCCTATAGAGTATTCCGATCTAAAGGTGGACCGAATACAAAAAAGGCTCCCGGTTTGAGTTAATTTATTGTGTGTTGTGCATTTATTCACGATCCATCACTCTTTCCTTCTTACTTTCTTACTGTTATAAGGCCGGGATACTAATATTTGGACTTGGACCGATCCATCACTCTTTCCTTCTTACTTTCTTACTGTTATTAGGCATCCATCAAGTAGTATTTTGTGTCTGGTGAACCATCAAAGTGTCGGTGCACTCCTATGACATAAAACTTGGTGTATAATCTTTGGTGTATAAGTAGTTTTATTCTAAATGAAAACTCTTACTAAATTACGGAGTATTAATAAGTTTCAAATAATTTTTATTTGTGTATGATTTACATTGATCATTTAAAAAATAATACACGCATGTAACCTTTTACTTTATAAAACTTTTTATAGAGTTTTAAAATTGTACCATTTGTTTCTTATGTCGGGACCAATACAGATCGCCCTCGAATTGGGGTAAAACTTCTTTTTTTCATTTTTAGCTAATGGGACACAATTGAGAGTTGAGACCGGAAACTCAAAGAATGCAAAATGAAATGAAATTAAAAAAAAATTCAATTCATTTTATTTAAAGATTGGTATAGAAATAAAAATAAAATTTACATATTTCAAAATTACATAAAAAATTTATTCGATACAAACCAGAGGTAATAAAAATAATTTATTTTATGAAATAATCAACTAACTACATAAATAAATAAAAGTTTTCTAATTTTTGGATAGTGAAATTAACGGGGCATTATGTTTTCTTTTTTGGGTGGGGAGGAAGAGTAGATTAAATTATGATATCCATTTTGGGGGAGAGTTGGTAAAAGTGACAACTCACAACCGATAGATGGGAGACGAGTGGACAATAGCTAATGGGAGACGAGTTGGTAAAAGTGACAACTCACAGCAGAAAGATTTTATGGGAGAACTCGCAAGTTGGTGGTGTTGACTGTTGAATTTGTTGATCGACATTCGACAATAGAGTAGGGGATTTGACAAAAAAAATTGGGAAATTTGACACATTATGTATTTTGGGTTCTTCCAATATAATTGCACGCCATTTTCTTTAATAAAATTGGGAAACTAGATAATTAAGATTTAAATATACTCCGTATTTTATATATCAAAATAGAATTTTAATTATTTTATATCAAAATAATATTTATGATTTCAAAATGCATCAATATATAAGACAAAAACATTGTGAAATTAAGCCATTTGTAACCCAAATTGCATACCACTGGTGTACATTTTCATTTTAAGTCGGTGTGATCCTAAATTGATGATTCACACATGTACATAATATTGGTGTAAATTATTTTAATCGCACTAGTATTTTGTGTCAGTATAAATCATCAAAATGATAATGTATCTCTTTAATGTAAATTTAGGATACATTCTTTACGGTAAGTGTCTCATGGTTGTAGGAGCATCTATTTTTTTAGATATAGAGTAAATTATACTCTTTTTTGACTTTTTGAGGATTTAAGGAAGGGATATTTTTGTGTTTACTTTCCAAAAATATCCTTGATATGATGTGTAAAAGTAAGATGTGATATGTAGATTATTAGTAAAAAGGTGTGATGTGATAGGTAGAGTATGAAAAACTAAGGGGTAAAAGGGGTTTTTTAAGGGAAAAGAAAAGTTTATTTGGGAACAAAGAAAAAAGAAAGGGGAAGTTTATTTAGGGACGGAGGAAGTATTTATAATAATCCGTAAGTTTAACATTTCTACTTTTCTTCTAGAATAATTTACCAAAATAGGACTAAAACATAATGACTTTCCCAATATAAGACCATATATTTTTATTTCTCAATGTAGGACTTTTGGTCATTATCAAGAAGTCATTATTCAAGTAAATGTCTATTATTACTGGACATTATTCCTTTCACAAGGTCATTATTAAGTCTTATTTAGGGAATAAAAAAGTTTAAGTCCTACATTAGAAAAGTCATTATGTTTTAGTCCTATTTAGAGCAAATTTTACTTTCTTCTACTCCTATTCCTAAATTACTTCACGGGAGTGTTAAAATACGAATTATAAAGTATGCCCCTCATGGATCATGGATCGCCGGTTGTCAGAGACGGGCAAGCGAAATTAGATTGGGCGCAACAGAATCAGGACTCCAAAAGAATCAAGACGTACGGAGCATAATAAATGGATAAATATAGTGAATTTTTGGGGTGTGACTCTAGCAGTACTCTTTTCTTTTGAGTAATGCTAGAGTCACAAATAAAATACTCACAAAATACATAAACTTACAATTTGTATATTTATGTTTTTATTTTTAAATTATTTGAGACCATTAATTTCAAACCATTAGTTTATGTATTGGGTAAGTTTGTGCATTTTATTTTTATGAATTTTAGTTTGTGTGTCTAGCAATACCCTCTCCTTCAAGAAATAATAAGAGATGCAACTTCATTTTCGAAACAGAAAAAATGAATTTTAATTTAAAACATATTCCCTCCGTCCAAAATTAACATATTCCCCCCAAGTTAATTTTGACTTTGAAGTCAAAATTTAACTCTAAAGTCAAAATTAACTTGGGGTGCAATTGAAGGTGGTGGGGGGCGTGTTCGGGTCGGGGCGGGGTGGGCGGTTTATCAGGAGGGTTATGAGGGTAGGAATCGTCAATTTTACGAACGGGGCATTGGAGCATCCTCGGGTCATCCCATGACATTGGGAACCAATGTGTTTAGATATGAGAGAGGTTCCCATGACATTGGTTTCCAATGTCATGGGATGACCCGAGGGTGCTCCGGTGCCATGTTCTTAAAATTGATGGTTCCAACCCCCATAACCCCCTCGGTAAACCCCCCACCCCGCCCCGACCCGAACACGTCCAACACGTCCCCCCACACCCTTCAATTGCACCCCGAAGTTAATTTTGACTTTGGATTCAAATTTTGACTCCAAAGTCAAAATTAACTTGGGAGTGCAATTGAAGGGGGTAGGGGGCGTGTTCGGGTCAGGGCGGGGTGGGGGTTTACTGAGGGGGTTAGGGGGTAGGAACTGTAAATTATACTCTCTCCGTCCAACAATAAAGTTCTCGTTCACTATTCATAGGGTCAAACTTTATTCACTTTGTTGGCCTATTTTTGTGTCTTATTTGATAAAATAATATAGTCATGTCAGTCTAGTTTTGTAGATCTTTTCATGTAGTTTTTAAATATATAATTTTTATTTTTTAATTCCATACCATTTTTCATATAAAATGATTTGAAAATAATTCAGTCAAACATCGTAACGCGCAATGAGAACTTTATTTGTGGAAGGAGGGAGTATTTATAATAATCCGTAAGTTTAACATTTCTACTTTTCTTCTACTCCTATTCCTAAATTACTTCACAAGAGTGTTAAAATACGAATTACTCCGTATAAAGTATGCCCCTCATGGATCATGGATCGCCGGTTGTCAAAGAGGGGCAAGCGAAATTAGATTGGGCGCAACAGAATCAGGACTCCAAAAGATTCAAGACGTACGGAGTATAATAAATGGATAAATATAGTGAATTTTTGGGTTGTGACTCTAGCATTATTCTTGTGACTCTAGAGTTACAAATAAAACACTCACAAAATACATAAACTTACAATTTGTGTATTTATGTTTTTATTTTTAAATTATTTGAGACCATTAATTTCAAACCATTAGTTTATGTATTGGGTAAGTTTTATGAAGGGGAGAGGAAGAGGAAAGAAAAAGTGAAGAAAAGAAAAGAATTGGTGGCAGTGTGGCACCGGGTTACTAGAAAGATAGGGTACGAAGAAAGAAATAAAAATGATATGGAGGAGATGGATGAGGGTAAATAAGTCTTTTTAATACAAAAAGTTACCAAATAAGGAAATGAGAATATAATTTATGAACAGATAAAAAAGGAAAGTGAGAAGATTATTTGTGGATGGAGAGAGTAAGGAACACTCCCTATTTAACTAATTTAAGAATGGGTAATATGTGGCTTGTAATGTTTCTAAGTTGGCAATGCCATTTTGAGAAGGTATATTTTGGAAGTAGACGGGCTTAGCAAATTTCACGCAGATAAGAAACAGTAAAAACAGAAGACGGTCACCAGAGCGTACGTACCGGAAAGGGAGGCGAAACGAAGGGCCTCTTCGATCATGCGGATCTGAGCGGCGCGGTGGTCGGGTAGGGAAACACCGGCGGAGATGTTGTGGTCGTAGAACCCATGGTGCAAGTGGTCTCCCCATATGTCTTCCCACATCCCCGAAGACTCGTCGTAGAACTCCGCTATCCCTTTATTCAGATTCTGCTGCTCCGCCGCCGTGAACGCCATCCCGCCGCTGCACTTCACAATCGCCGATCCTTTTCAATTACCGTCGATAATCGGTATCACACCACTTCAATTTGGAGTGTGTTGCTTTTATATTGCTATAAACACTGTCTCTTTCTAAACAAAATAACTATTCCGGGATTCGTTTTAGGAAAAACATGTACCCACCAACCCTCACTCCCCTAAATATTTACCATATTTCAAAAAATGAGATAAAATATCCAATTTTTTAAATTTATTTTATTTAATTATTTGTATTGAAATAAAAAATAAAATTAAATATTTAAAACTACATGAAATTTTTTTTGAAATAAGAATGTCAAATTTTTTTTATTCTATCTAATAATCAATGAAAACATACGAATAAATAAAAGTTTTTGTAATAGTTGAAAAAAGAAAAAGTGACAAATCTTTTGGATTGGGAGAGAGGGAGTACTTTTTATACTCCTTCCCCCGTAAAAGATTGTCACAGTTTGACTTTTTTACTAAAATTGTAGTATCTTTTGATAACAAATTAAATATAACTTAAAATATTTAAATATTATAAAATTTGATATTTTAAAATTATATGTTAAAATAAATCTAATTTTACTAATTTTACATTATAACGGAATATATTTTTTCATATGGAGTAATTCACAATTATCAAAGGTGTCAGAGTTACACCAAAAAAGTCAAACTGTGGCAATCTTTAAAGAACGGAGATAGTATTTTTATTTCTTAAATAAGAATGTTGATACTATGTAATTGTTGGAACAATTAGTATATCATTTTTTGTTGTGAATGTACTTAGAAAAATAAACATTCTAAACTATCTACGTACCCCAATGAATGGGATCAAATCACATGTATTTTAGAACAGGATAGGTAAAATTAATCGAATAAATTGTTAAGAAACATGATAAAATAAAATTCTTTTTTTAAGTTTCTTATTTAGATTATTATAAACAACAAAGATTACAAGATAAAACTTGTGGAATAGAGTATAGAAGACCATATTACTCGGTGGCTCTTCGATACAATTTGCTAATGTACTTTAATGAAAATTGTCCCCAGACAATGAGAACATAACATAGGAAAATAAATCATATAATTTACTCTATAATAATTACTAATTAATATTTAATTATTATAGAATAAATTTCAAAGATATAATACTGCGAAATAAATTACTCTTTCAACGAACATTCTAGATAATCAATGAAATTATAATAATAAACATCCATGTACATAAAAATATTACTTAAAATTTCATCATTATAAAATAAATTATAAAGAAATAAAATAATTTATTTCATCCATCTTTTAAGAGTACGGGCAATGACAAGTAAGAAATAGAAGGATACACGATTACACGTTGACATGACATTATTCATCCAATCAATAACAACCTATCTAGTCAGAGAGTAGCATGTCAGTGGAGTAGTATGCCCTACAGTAGCAAGCTATTGTTTTAGTAACTTTTCATATTTTTGATGTATTTAAAGTATTATATACTAGTTTAGTTATTAGAAAAAAGAAAAAAATACATATAAAAAGGAGAAAAACTTGATTTCATTATCAAAAAGAAAAAAAGAAAAAAGTACAAATGAGAATAGTGCCTCGCACATGGCTTGATATCCGCGGTGAAATGTCGTCCTTCCACTCCATGTTCTACAAGTCAAAAGTAGTATTTGTTGGAGTAGGTGCCCTTATGGCCAACTACTGTTGTAATATCTTAGAGATTTTCTATCATGTAAAGGCAGATGTAATAAGTTTACAAACATCTCATGGTAATGTAAACTCTTAATTGCATTCCTAAAATTATATTATAAGATGTTTATCAGAATGAGTCTTCTCATGTTGAGACTCACATCTTGTCACTTGGTATAATTCTAAACGGTCAATAGTCGAAGCATTAACGAGAGTGGGATATTTTTAGTGCGTGTGAGACTAGTGAGAGTTAGATGTTTGACCTAGTCTCTTGGTCAATGACGGAGTGTTCGCATCTACTCTCGGGCAGATATTATCGTTAATAATTGGATGTCAGACCTGACCCACCTTAAGGACATTTCCTAGACTTTTAGTCTATGCTCTAAGTGTCCTTAATGCGACTATTGGTATAACGATCATTAGACTTGAAGTATTATGTTCTTCGAATGCGTGAACCTGCATGCTTTGATTCATTGTCCTAAGCCGTATGAAATAAGGATGGTACACAGGCTTTGTATTGGGCATGCCGCTGCATGTATTCGAAGACGTAGATTACGTACAAAGAATTTGTCATTGCTACTCAAGCAGAATAATGTCTTGTAGGGGCCCACTGATAAGTATTACTGAGGAAATGCATGGCCATGCTTAGATGAGTTTAGACATCTTTCCTCATCAGTCAGACTTGTTAATCAGTAAATAACTTAATGGCTACAAGTTGGCTATTTTATATATCCCTTGCACTAAGTTAAGACATTGGGACAAAAAGATCTACGTTATACAAAGTCTTAGTCGTAGAAAGGTTTTGACGGAGCAAACGTCTGAACTTATAATCTGGGGGTAATAATGTGTTGCTAGATACCGCTTATTACTTATAGTATTGGTGTAGAGTCAATACTGTGGCCAGTTTTATAAGTGCCTATAAGAAGGGATAATATTTAATTTGTATATTGTAAAATAGTAAAAATAAAATGTTTAATATATATATAATATATATATATATATATATATATACACACACACACACACACACTAAACCTAAAGTGTACGTGTGTATATGTATAGGTTATGTTCAAGCCGTGTACATATACATATATATATATATATATATATATATATATATATATATATTAGATTATATATTATATTGTGTACATTTTATTTTGGAGTGTCATTTTATTTATGAAAATAATTATTTTGACAAAAACTATTTTAAAGTATATTTTATATACTTGTTTTAAAATGTTTTGGGTATTTTATTTTATATCATAAAAATTATTGATGTCAAATAAAATACACTTTAAACATTTGAGAAGAGAAGAATTAAATTCTTTCCCCCCTTCTCTTCATTTCGTACATAGTGTACCTTGTGTGTGTGGGGGCTTTGTCTCCCACTACACTTCATAATGGATGTACCTTTGGCCCTTTCCATAAAAAAATGTTTTATAATTATCTTTTTAATAATATAAAATGTGTGGTTTTCTCCTCTCCACTTTGAGGGAGTTTTCTGCCAAAAGGGAGGAGAGAGGAAGGAGAAATTTTGAGTTCCCAAAATTCTTATTTGGTGTGTAGAAAATTGATATCCCTCGGTTCGGAAATGTTTTTCTCATTTGACTTTTCACATTCTCTAATATTGCACTTTGACCATTAATATCTATATTTATATGTAGATATATTTTATAAAAATTTGATTTTTGAAAACTACGTTTCATTATGAATATATTGATATTAAATTTACATCATAATACAATGTATTTTTTCCATAAATCATAGTCAAAGTTTATAAACTTTGACCAAGAAAAGTCAAATGTGAAGAAAATTTCCGGACGGAGGGAGTATAATATTCTCTCTAAAATATTATTGATATATTTTCTACCATTTAATATACGAGATTAATATTATCCCTAATATAATCTTTATATTTTAATATACTACTTTAACACTTGCTAGCACAAGTGTTAGGGTAGACTCCGGAGATTGTTCGTGTGTAAAAGTTTGAGGCCAGACGCTTGAACGGCTACGCTTGCTCCTTCAACATCTTTCCCCGATTCAACGTCGTTACCGCTAACTGGAGAAGGTATAAGTTTCTATCTCTAGCTATAGTTTTAGTACGTGTTCTTGGGCTAGTAATCACTATTAGGAGATTAATTTTTTTTGTATTTTCGCTGCCCTCCCAACCGTGGTTACCTTTCACTGGTATCAAATCCAACGTACAAAAATATAGTTTTTCGTAGAACTTTTTCGGTTGGAAATTATTTTTAACTTGGTAATTATTTGTTAATCTCAAAAATTAGTAAAATGATTTATTTTAGTCTTGGAATAAAAATTGAACTTAAATAAATCATTAAAATAAATATTCATTATTTATTTGTGCCGAAAATATGTATTTTATACATATATTTGCAAATTTCGAATATATACTAATATATATATATTTCGAAATTGTTAATATAATTTTATTGAACATAAAATTTCATTTTATGGTTAGTAAAATTATATTGTAATTTTCGAAATTGTTTATTTCCAATTTTTGAGTTAATTGTATTTGTTTACATTTAATTCCAATATATCTTAAATAAATATTGGAAACTCAAAATGAACTTTATAAAACTTGGAAATTTTATTTCTAGGTGAAATAAAGTTGTTCATAAATATATTGGACAAAATAATATTAGTTAGTAATTAATTATATATATATTTCGGTATATATATATATTACCGAGTAATATATATATAAATATATATATATATATTAATTGAAAATGGCTAATATCATTTTGGAAAATTACGAGTATTAAATTTTATAATTTAATGATTTTGAAAAATGATTTAAAATTATTTTTACAATTATTGAGATATAATTAATATATTTGGGAAATAAATATTTATAAGTTCTGGAAATTTATTTTTCCTACTATGAATATTTAAAATAGTTACTGGAAGTTGAAAATAAATTTTCATCATTTTTGAAAATTCATTCCTCATTTAAATGGATTTTTCAAAATAAAATTGGCAAAAGGGCATTTCTGTAATTCTGTATTTACTGGAACTTTTTCTTCCAGTTTTGACCCTGGCCGAAAGTCAGAGATTATGTTTAGGATGACTTGGTAAAATTTCATAATTTTTGGACCACTTTATGAATTTTTATGAATTTTAGAAAATATTACCAATGTAGTATTTTTCTAGAATTGTCTGGGCGAGCGCGGTTCGCCCGGTGTATGTATATCTCTATTGCCTGTGTGGATGTATGATATGCATGGTGGATGGTTGTGGCTACAGTTTATTTGATTATAATACGGTCTGCGTGTCGTGCCTTATCTCTTAAACTCTCGTTGTAAATATATTTCTCTCTCTTACCTCAACCGTGGATTCTTTTCTCACGTGGTGGTTAGAAGATAAAAGATTTGAGATCCGTTCGAGGGAATATAAAGGAATGGAGATAGCCCGAAGTCCAAGTACCTAGAAGTCAGTGGGAGCTATCGTTTTATTTTTCCTTTAGGGGCCACAATCATTACACGTTTATTTACTGCGTATTTTGAATGCATGTGAATGTATGTTTAACTCTAGTAAATTGACACGTGCGCGACATGTGTCGTAGGTGAGATCGTAATATTTAAATCCCTCGAAATATTAAGTCTGTATTGCCTTCCGGCGCCCGGCACCTTTCCAGCTAATGTGCACTGTCACGTACTCAGCCCTAGCAGAGCGTAGTACGGTGTATGTTATGCTGGTCACTGGAATCACAAAAGTGGTCATTGTCAGACGTTGGGTTAGACGTAATTGAGTCTCGGTCAAATGGATGGATGACTCAGAGGCGGTTTTTGTTGGGGTCACTATACTGACAAGTCGATTTACTTTAATCACTCATCCAGCCAGAAGTTGGGTCTCTATGACTTAATTGGGCTTTGCCCTAACTAAAGTAGTTGCGCATGTGGTACGTGCCAAAGCCAATCACATGTACGATGAAACGGTGTTCTGGTCCGTTAGTAGTATTGTCGTTCGCCCAACACAAGACCAAGGACTATGAGCGCGGCTCGACAGTTGGAACTATTTTCCTACCTAAATAGTTAAATTCTAGGTACGAACCTCAGGTCAACTGGAATTTAATGATATATGGATCTTGGCCCATTAAGAGAATCTCTAGGAGAATCTCCGAATCAACATTGAGGGTTGTTGCTTTGTTAAAATAGTGGGAAATAATTAATTAAAAGGCCTAATTAATTATTCAACATGATATATAACCTAGTTTGCAATTTCATTCTGTAGATGGCATCGAATAACACGTACAGTCATTCCATCAACCTGCGCTATATCCTCGAGAGCCAAAAACTCTATGGGGAAAACTTTCTTGACTGGGAGAACAACCTCCGAATCGTTCTTGACTATGAGAGGAAACTCTACATCCTCGAAACGGATCCTCCCAAGACCCCTGAGGCAAATACTTGTGCGTCCGAACTCACTTCTTTCAAGAAGTATGAGGACGGCGCGCGAGATGTTAAGTGTATCATTATGGCCAGTATGACCGCAGAGCTCCAAAGGCTCCACGTGGACATGGAAGCGCGTCCTATGATACAATGCTTGAGAGACCTATACCAGGGTCAACCCAAAAACTCAGGTATTTACGTTATCGAAGTCAACATGTCTGATTTCACCTCTTGGGTGATGGATACCGGATGTGGTTCTCACATCTATACTTCTATGTAGAATTTGCATGAAGGTAGACATTTGGCTGAGGGAGAAGTCCAGCTTAAGGTCGGAAATGGAACCCTTGTCAATGCGCTGGCTGTAGGAACTTATGTTCTATCTCTCCCTAGTGGCTTGTTGTTGCATTTAAACAATTGCTTGTTTGTATCTGCCATTAGCAGGAGTATCATTTCTATGTCCTGTCTTGACAAAGCAGGATTTTCTATTAACGTTAAAGACAAGTGCCTTTCGGTTTTCAGAAATGATATTTACTATGCAACTGCTAAGATGACCAATGGTCTTTATATCTTAGACTTAGACGCCACTGTTTATAACGTAGATGTTAAGAGAAGCAAACCAAACAGTTTGAATCTGTAACACCCCAACTCAAATAACCCGTTTACCTAGATTATTTGGGCCAGAGTAGTTACCATGATGGTAATTTCGCATGATAATTTGAGTGATAATTTAAAATCAATTAAACTTTAATATAATGAAAATCTCAAATATTAAATTTTAGAGCAATGTTAAAACAATGCGGAAGCTTAAATATAAAATATATCAAGTCATATTACATTTTCTGGGAACTCGCCCGAAAAGGTATTTATTAAAATAAAGCATAGTAAATTGTGGTCCACCAGTCCGTACATCTCGTCACTATCATTGACCTCCGGGATGGGCTCCATGTTCAGTATTATTACCTGCATGTAGCAAGTAAAACAAACTACACGCTCAGCGCCGGCTGAGGAATGCGCTAATACAACAATTCCAAGTTGAATAGCAAGTAGACATATAATTATTCATGATATTGCATAATATAGCATATATGTTCAAGATGATGATGACAGTACAAAATTGATGTCATATATAGTCATGATGATTTTACTTGATGAAGACTTCATGCTGTATGATTCTAGTCAACAAGGAACGACCTTGCACTATGAGATTCGCCCATTTGGTACGACGAACTCATGTCCTTCTTAGTCTCACGAGGGAGACTAGAAAAATAGGGGTGGTACTCGAAAGTCTGAATACCATGTATGTACACTAAGCCCGGTCAGGGATGTCGGACTGCTAAGTCCCGCACATCCATGCTATAAGAGACGCACGAGGCATGATCTCTTACGCATGCATATGATGTGATATGCTTCAATATGGATAATGAAATGAATCATATAATATTAACAATTTGCAAACAATATGAATATGTAATCATGCATAAGTTTGTTTGGTTGAAACATGATTAAAATATCATTTAAATAAGCTACGGGGTTCGGAACGGTCGACCGTTTGGCGCGGCGGTCGACCTTGATCTTCATCTCGTCAGATTGGCAGAACACCGTGACGGTCGACCGCGGTTGACTGGCGGTCAACCGTTGTTGACTGGATGAGGACGGCGGTCCTCGACTGGGCAGGCGGCGGTCGACCGTTGGCCACCGGTGGTCGACCGTTTGTGTGACACTCGCGCTTCGTTTCGATGTTTGACGCGACGGTTGACCGTTTACATTGACCGTTCGGGTTTGCGAATCTAATTTTTGATATTTTTGGATATCTAAAATACTTATTTGAGTCATTTTAACACCTATTATTAACATATCTATGTATTTGAAGTATTCCTAACACTTATATATACATGTAAGGAAAAATATCAAGAAAAACATATTTTAACTTTGTAAATTTGATGAATTTGATCTTAAAGCATAAATGACTTATAATATGGATATCAATCCTAACGATATATCTAGATTGATATTCAACCAAGGATTGCGTTACTAGTGTGCAATGTACTCGCCTTAATATCGTAGAGGTCGGAATGATAGAAAGAAAATAATACGCCTCAACGAACATTCAACGTACGGTCACCCCTATCAACTTCGAGCTTCCTACGCCCAATCTTCTTGGAAATAACATCCGGAAGTTCCTAATAACCACGAGAGAGTTGACGGTAAGTATTTGGAAAGAAACGATGTGAAAATGATGAAGAAACATAGCCAACCCGAGGAGCTCGCCACCACTGGCGCAGTCCCGGTATTTTGGCCATATCTCCTTCGTTACTTAACGAAATCACGAACCGTTTGTTGGGTTGGATTCGTAACGTCCGGGGCTACGATTTTGGTATAATAAATAATTCGAGAAAATGGATAGAAAATTACAGAATTGACGATGAAGTCGCTGCTGCGTTTTTAGCTCAGGATTTTGGACTTGAACACCTCTTCTTGTTTCCCCTTCTTCTTCCTTTGGTACAAAAATAGAGATGGAGTCTCCTTTCTCCTTCCTTGAAGCTTGGCCGACAGAGAGAGAGGATGAAGAGAGAGTTGAGAATGTTTTGAGATGATTGGAATTGAATTGTTGACAAAGTGAGAAGAAGTTAAGGTTTAATACACTCCACTTTTGGAGGTATTAGGTTAGTGGAGTTCCTGGGGTGGCCTAATTAAAGACTTTGGGGATTTGGGCTACTTGATTGGGAGGATTTGGAAATTTAAAAATATTCTCCTACTCCGTAACTGATAAACTGGCTAAAACGGTACGCGCTTTTTTGCCCAAACTATTCCGAATTGAAAACGGATTGCATATTTGGAATCAGACTGTCAAAACTAAAATTTTGATATAATTAAAATATTTTTCTAAAAACTTTTATTTTTCAGTGTTTGGGTCTGTCTCAGTCATTAATTAATGTTTAAATTAATTAATTCTTTTAGGCCTAAATTCGGGGCGTTACAGAATCTCACATACCTTTGGCATTGTCGTTTGGGCCACATTAACGAGAAACACATATCTAAGTTACGTCACTCTGGCGTACTTGATTCATTTGACCTCGAGTCTTATGATGTATGCCAATCTTGTTTACTCGGTAAAATGATAAAGGCTCCATTCGCCGGTCACGATGAAAGGGCGAGTGATGTATTAGGCCTCCTCATACACTCTGATGTGTGTGGCCCAATCAACACTGAAGCTAGAGGTGGTTTCTCATACTTCATCACATTTACTGACGATCTCTGTCGGTATGGATATGTGTATCTTTTAAAACACACAAATCGGAATGGTTTGACAAATTCAAAGAATTCAGAAACGAAGTAGAGAAACAATTATGCAAAAGTATCAAGACACTCCATTCGGATCGTGGAGGTGAGTACTTGAGTCTAGAGTTTGATGACTATCTATGAGAGCACGAGATTCTATCCCAGCTCACTCCTCCTGGCACACCCCAATTAAATGGAGTTTTAGAGAGGAGGAACCGAACCTTACTCGATATGGTTCGGAGTATGATGAGTCTGACGACACTCCCAGAGTCCTTTTGGGAAAAGCACTATTAACAGCAGCACACACACTCAATCGCGTACCATCTAAGGCTGTTGAGAACACACCATACGAGCTATGTCGTGGGACAAAACCGAATTTTTCATACTTGAGGATTTGGGGTTGTGATATTTACGTTAGACGCCTCATGACGTCTGGTAAGCTGGATTCCAAATCTGACAGGTGTAAATTTGTGGGATACCCCAAGGAAACAAAAGGGTATGAGTTCTATCATCCGACCGATAACAAAATCTTTGTTGCTCGGAACGGAACCTTCCTTGAGAAGGATTTTCTCTCTGCTATTTCTAGTGGGAGAAAGGTAGACCTCGAAGAAATTCGAGAACCACAAGAAGAGATCTCAATAGCAGTGGAACCCGAGCGTCAAGATTTAGTATCTCGACCGGCTCAGGTTTTACCACGTAGGTAAGACCGGATGCGTAATCCTCCGGTTAGATATGGCTTCCTTGTATCTGATGAAGGTGACCTCTTGCTGGTAGACCAACGCGAACCTGAGACCTACCTCGAGGCAATCACGTGCCCCGACCAAAGAATGGCTTAATGCCATGAAATCTGAAATGGAGTCTATGTGCACAAACCAAGTCTGGACCTTGGTTGATGCGCCCGAAGGGATAAAACCCACAGGGTGCAAGTGGATTTTCAAAAAGAAAACAGACGTAGACAGGAAGGTTCATACCTTCAAAGCTAGATTGGTAGCAAAATGTTATAGACAAATCCATGGAATTGACTATGACGAAACCTTTTCTCTAGTTGTGATGCTGAAATCCATGGAATTGGACGTCAAGACGGCTTTCCTTAACAGGAACCTCAAAGAGGATGTCTATATGACACAGCCTGACGGTTTTACAATTGCTGGTGAATCTGCCAAAGTCTCTCTAAGCTGCAACGGTCAATCTACGGATTGAAACAAGCATCTCGGAGTTGGTATATACATTTTGATGAAACCATCACTAGTTTTGGTTTCGAGAAGAATTCTGACGAGGCTTGTGTTTACAAGAAGGTCAGTGGGAGTGTGATAGTATTCCTAATCCTATATGTCGATGACATATTGTTAATGGGTAACGATGTTCCTGCTCTTACGTCTGTAAAGACTTGGTTGAGCGAGAACTTCGCCATGAAGGACTTGGAGAATGCTAGTTTTGCCCTTGGCATAAGAATCTACCGTGATAGGTCAAGAAAGTTGATAGGTCTATGTCAAAGTACATATATAGATAAGGTCCTTGATCGATTTAGCATGTCTAACTCGAAAAAGGGATCCTTACCTATGTTACCTGGCACGGCTCTTTCCAAGAGCCAGAGTCCTTCTACTCCCGAGCAGAAGGAACTAATGATGAAGGTCCCATATGCTTCTGCAATTGGTTCCATCATGTATGCCATGATATGTACTAGACCTGATGTCTCATTCGCTTTAAGCGTGACCAGCAGATACCAGGGAAATCCAGGTGAAGCACACTAGACAGCGGTCAAGAACATCATAAAGTATCTTCGGAATACTAAGGATGCATTCGTGGTGTATGGAGGTGAGGAAGAGCTGAAAGTGATCGGTTACACTGATGCGAGCTTCCAAACAATATAATATATAATCTAATATATATATATATATATATATATATATATATATATGTATGTATGTATATATGTATATATATGTACACGGCTTGAACATAACCTATACATATACACACGTACACTTTAGGTTTAGTGTGTGTATATATATATATATTAAACATTTTATTTTTACTATTTTACAATATAAAAATTAAATATTATCCCTTCTTATAATCCTACTCTTTAAATTATTCAAAGTGTGTGACCCATATAGGCACTTATAAAACTGGCCACAGTATTGACTCTACACCAATACTATAAGTAATAAGCGGTATCTAGCAACACATTATTACCCCCAGATTATAAGTTCAGACGTTTGCTCCGTCAAAACCTTTCTACGACTAAGACTTTGTATAACGTAGATCCTTTTGTCCCAATGTCTTAACTTAGTGCAAGGGATATATAAAATAGCCAACTTGTAGCCATTAAGTTATTTACTGATTAACAAGTCTGACTGATGAGGAAAGATGTCTAAACTCATCTAAGCATGGCCATGCATTTCCTCAGTAATACTTATCAGTGGGCCCCTACAAGACATTATTCTGCTTGAGTAGCAATGACAAATTCTTTGTACGTAATCTACGTCTTCGAATACATGCAGCGGCATGCCCAATACAAAGCCTGTGTACCATCCTTATTTCATACGGCTTAGGACAATGAATCAAAGCATGCAGGTTCACGCATTCGAAAATATACTTGCTAAGAAGTCTTAGACAAGTGGGGAAGAGGGAGGAGAAGCGGAGATTTAAAATCAAAAAGAAAAATTTTTGAAAAATAGAAGAGGAGGAAGAGAGATGAAAGTAGGCCAAGAGAAAAAGTGAAAAGAAATTTTGAAGAGCAAAAAATAGAAAAGGAGAGAGAGAGGTGGAGATAGAAAAAAGAGAGCGAAGAAGGGGGCAGAAAAAGGTTTAGAAAAGAAAAAGGAGAGTGTTGATCTAGAGAAGGTGTATGGTGAGGTGCAGAAATGTGAGATTCTCACCATAGACCTTCTCTACTACCGAGATTCGCACCATAGACCATGAAAATCTTTTCTTCCCACCAGGCTTCCTCCATTTCCATCTATGAGGGTAGGGAAGAAGTTCTCCATTGAAGAGATTTTTCTCAGGCAGTGAGTTTGAAGACTTTTCATATTGAGAGATATTTTTTTGTGTGATGGAAATTGATATGGATTTGCTCGGTTTATATAGGAGGAGAAGATTAGAGGGAGTGGTTCACGGGTTCCATTTAGTGGGTGGTTGGAACGAGAAAAGTAAATGAATTTCAACTTCCAAGAAAGTTGAATTTTGAAACGTTGAAAATATTTTTCATCAGTTACCAATGAACCAAAACCGTTTCCAATTGAACCAAATACGTAGGGTTTGAGAAAATAACTGTTTTGTTTTGGCTAAGCCCATAAAAGTGGCCAAAAAAAACTATTCACTTAAGGGAAATTATTCCTATTGGGTTCTCAAGGCCCAAAATAAATCTATCATTTTTCATTCCCTACAGTTCTAAGTTCTAGTTAGGACGAGGTAGTACCAAAAATAAACTTTATTTTGAAAGAAAAATTGGTACTAATTTTTTAAAGTCCTGTACATTTAAAAATCCTAAGGACCAGTTCTTAGGGCAAGACAGGAAATGAACTAAGGATTGAAACTCAATTTTAAGAAGGAAGATATTGTAGAGTACCTGAATCGGAGATCTCCAACTCTAGTACAGAAATGAGGTATCCGACTTCCATGCTTAGAGTGTTTCATTAGTAGTCCATTACCAACAATAAAACATTAGCCAAAAACAGTTATATTCCCCCTGAATTATATCCCCCCTGAATGTGTGCAACATAATAAATCCCAAAACAAGAGAAGTGTTTACACAAGAAGGTGTTTTCATCAAAACAACAATAATGTATCTAGACTTCCCCCTGTTTTGATGAAAACAAACCTTCAACTCCTCTTGCGTCTGGAGGTTTCGGCCAAGTCACCCAAGTCTTGAATGACGCCACATTCAGTCCTGATTCTCTTTAGATTCTTTGTGCTGTCCCTCGTTGGTGAAGTGTGGTGCTGTTATTCCTAAGCTTTCCGTTCCATCAAACTCATTGTTTGACAAGTGTTGCACTGAGAGCTCCGGATTGCTTTGCTGGACTTCCAGGAGTAGATCTATCAACTTCAGATGTGTTGGAATGGGAAGCCTCGGAATTTCCGGAAGATTCTTATATTGGACTGTGATATCCAATTTATGTTTGGCAGTGAAAGCTGCCATACCTTTGAGTAACCGGAAGACTTCCTTCTGGTTTTCTGCAAGGACCTTTAGATAGTCTTGGGTAACCACCTGGTTTGCTGAAGAAACTGCCAAGGCTGATCTAATGTCCTTCTGTAGAAGCGCCATTTACTTCTAAAGACTTGTGGTAACAGCAGCAAGCTGTTGTTTGATCTCCACCACCTCTTTGAGTTGGAGGTGGGAATCAGAAGCATAGGTCATCATAGTAGTGCTCAACGAAGTACTCATAAGAGAGATGATCTCAAGAGTCTTGTTGACAGTGTTGCCTATCTCTTTTAGATTTGATCTATACCTTTCTTCAGTTCTCTCCATGACCAGATTGTGCCTTTCTTCAATTTTATCCAACTCTCTCTAGAAAGAGGCTCTTTGAGACTCCAAGGCTGATTCAACCAGCCTTTGGATTTTTCTGGTCCAGAGTTCCGGCATCTCATCCGGAAGAGTAGATATGGAGGAGGAGCTGTGAAAATGGAAGTTAGTTACCTGAGTGGATGGAGGGATGCTGTGAAAGCTTTGTAGAGGGAGAGATTCAGCTTCCTCTCCTTCTTCGTCATCTTCTTCATTAATTTTTAGAATCTTCACAGACCCTTCCTGAGCTTCTCCATCCTTGTAGTTTGAGATTTCCTGGGAAATTGGATCTCTCACTACTTCAGCATTTTGTTGCTCAAAGATAGCAACTAGAGTTTCAGCAACCTCCAAGCTAGCTATCTGAGCGTCTTCTCCTGCTTCTTCAAGGCTTCTTTGAGCTTCCACTTCAGGTTCTCTTCGAATTTCTTCTTCTGTAGTATCTGGAGGAGTGGACTTTGACAGTTTCTCCAAATGTTCTTCTGACTTTCCCTCCAAATGTGGATCTCCTTCAGTACATTTCCGAATTTCAAGTTCAGCTTGATTGGAGATCTCACAGGTGATTGTGAGGATATCTTGAACTTGAAATTGGACAGAATGCATAATTTCTTCTTCTTTTGCTATTGCTTGGATTTGTTCTTCAGGTTGAGGAATGGCAACATCCTCTTGAAGAGTTTCAACAAAAGTAATTTCAAGTGCAGAGGAATTTTCCGGAAAGATCAAGAAATCCTCTGCTCCAGCTTCTAAGTCTGCTTGGGTTTCTTCAGTGATGTTTTCAACATGATTTCCAGCTGGATTTAAAATAATGGGCTTGAAGACTGCTGTATCTTCATCATCAACTTCAAATTCTGAAGGAAGAGAAGTTGACAGGAATTCCAACAACAGTACTTCATTGGGAGACTTTGTTCTTGATGGGTCTCTTCATCAAGAGGGTGAGGGCTGTCCTGAGGATGGTTTTCTAGTGAGTTCTCCGGATTGACATCTCCGGATGTGGAGGGAGTGGAGATTCTTCTATTCTTTTTCTTTTGAAGCTGTCCTTGAGCTGAGATCTCTTCTTCATCCAGATTTACCATCTCAAGGTCTCTTTGTTCTTCAGCACTGGGGGAGGAAGATACCACTTGCTTCCTTTTTGAAGCCTTCTTCAAAGCGATATCCATGACTTCGTTTGAAGATCCTTCTTCTTCAGCAACAAAGCTGTTTCTGTTCTCTCCCTTTCTTGATAGGTAATATAGCCAGTATCTTTCTTCATACTTTTTGCCATCAGTGGCAATATCCATGGTTTTCAATACATGCCCAATGTACAGTCCTTGATAGAGGAATTTCTGCCTGGGTTTGCCTATGTGCTTAAAAATGGAATTGAAGAAGTGTTTAGCCCAATTTACCTTGGTTTTGGTGATGAGATCATTGATGATGAAGGCTCTCTTCTGGGTGATATCATCGGCATGTCCTCCACTTCCACATTCTAGACATCCAATGACAAGCTCCAAAATCAGTTTGTAATCATTCTTCAGATCACCCTTCTTTGCTAGACCAGAGGGGACTCTTCCAGAAATCCCAATTTCACTCCAGTTCAGAGATTTGGGTGAAAGCTTCCCAATATCAGCACCAGAATTGGGAAGGTGAAGCTTTGTCTTTAACTTTTCTGTGAAAGCTTCACTTCTTTATCTCCAAAAGTTGATTTGATAATCTGAGGAGATCTCCTTGCATTCTTCTTGGATTGTACGGTTTGGATTTCTCCATTTCTGTAGAATTCCAAAACTTCCTCTTCATATTTGGAATGAATTTCCAGATGGAGGAATTCCGAAAGTTCTTGAGCTTCGATCATTTCAATGTAGGCTTCGTAAAATGTTGGGGATGAGCGTTTTGCTTCTAATTTCTTGAAGTGAAAGATTTCTCACGAGGGTTCTTCTGTGATTTCTCGCGAGGAAGACGACAGAGAGTTGAGTGGGCAGAGTGGGTAGTTGAGATTTGAGATAGTGGAGATTGGGTTTAATTTGGGCGATTTATACGGCTGGTGGCGATTGGGTTTTAAACTGTTCCCAAGGCCACGTGTCCACGCGTAGCTTTATCAGGGGTGGTATGTGTGCTGCCACATGTACTGCACTTAGTTTAATAGAATTAGACCTATTTTGTGAAGCAATTCAGAAAACCTGGCTTCACTTGGTGGTTTTGTGAAGATATCCGCCAATTGTTCTTCAGTTGAGATGTACTCAATTTTGATATCCTTCTTTTCCACGTTATCGCTGATGAAGTGGTGCTTGACATTAATGTGCTTAGTGCGAGAATGATGCACTGGATTTTGTGAAATAGCTATAGCACTTTGATTATCACAAAATATCGTCACTTCCTTTGTTTTGACTCCATATTCTAGTAGTTGTTGCTTTAACCACAAGATCTGAGCACAACAACTACCAGCAACAATATACTCTGGTTTTGTTGTTGATGTAGAGATGGAATTTTGTTTCTTATTGAACCAAGAAACAAGATTTCCGCCAATGAATTGACAAGTGTTAGAGGTACTCTTCCGGTCAACTTTGTGTAACGCCCCAAATTTAGGCCTAAATGAATTAATTAATTTAAATATTAATTAATGACTGAGACACACCCAAACACTGAAAAATAAAAGTTTTTTGAAAAATATTTTAGTTATATCAAAATTTTAGTTTTGACAGTCTGATTCCAAAACCCCGATCCGTTTTCAATTCGGAACAGTTTGGGCGAAAAAGCGCGTACTGTTGGAAGAGAGAACAACATCATCACCCCTCTTAGTCCTTGCACTGCTGGTTGGTTGGCCTCCTTGATTTGGCATGACAGCATCACCATAACCATCCACAACAGATTCATCACCTTTCAAAGCCTTCTTTTTCTTCTTTTGTTTATTACCCGTTGCTAGTGGCATGATAGTAGGTCTAGTTTGACCACCCTTAACCGTCTTCTCCTAGCTCTTTTGGGGGTTTGGCCACTAGTTGTTGTGGTTAACGCCCCATTATTAGCCAATTTATACCTCCTCCAAAGAGCGTGTAAGGCCCGAGAGTCCATTTTCCCCTCTCTTGACATCAAAGAAAATCACAATCCAAGTTCGAGACAATAAACTCCTCGTGTTTGAGGTGCTGTAACTGAAAGAAATTAGGTCGATGCCTCTTATATACATTCTTCAAAGAAAAAGTCTTAGCCAAAATAAAGAACTATAACCAAAACATATCGTAACATATTAGTGGTTCAAAACAAAAGTTGGAGTTGATATATGTACCTGGCCTGTCAAAGACCACATATATGCAACTACATCAAAGCAAATCACAGTTGTTTTGGTGCAACTACAGACCAGGCCAGCTTATGTTTTGGTTTGTGATTTGCAACTATATCAAAAGTACAGGCCAGGTACACATATCAAAGACCACATAAATGCAACTAACCACATACCTCATGATGGTGTCTTTGTGATAGTAAGATTCTATTAGTTGCTTTAAAACCAGTGCTTGCAGAGCTTCATAAAGGGCAAGCAACTCCAACGGCAGATCATCAAAAGTACAGGCCAGGTACATATCCCAAAACCATAGCCATAAATTGCAATTTGTAATCCGTGAAGCAAGAAAAAAGTTAATATGAACTATGAGCATAAACATAGTTCCCAAAAAAGATTTATTAATAGAAATTGTGCTTTCAAAAGTTAAAGCATACAAAACTGAAAACTGGACTGCAATGCTACACTGTAAAACACTAGAGGCACAAAATGGACATGGAAAACGTATCATCAAAAACATCCACAAAAACAACAAGAAGGCCTTCAAAGCACGATTAAGAACCACACAAAACTTAGACAAAAGGTATTCAAAATTCTTCAAAATTCTGCACGATGAAGTCTGGTATGGATTCGCCTGTTGAAGGAGAATCCAAATATCCATAAATATGATTGAACGAGCTCAAATCAGTGGAGTATGGGTAATTGGCAATGGAAAACCCAATTTAGACTAGCTAAAGTGAACCAACCCAAGCTAAGCCATGTAAATGTCTTGGTAATTGACTATGCCCACCGTTTTTTACAACAAAAAACTTCCATTTAAAAACTTCCATTTATCCCTCACAAGAAAAAGTTCATATAAAGATTGAGGTAACAAAAACGAAGCAAATAAATCCTCATAATTGAAGAATTCCAATATTTTCATTCATATAATTGAAGAATTTAGTGTATTTTCAAGAGATATGCAAAGAAATTCACATAATTTAACCATTAGAGTATTTTCAAGATAAAGTAAAACCTGTAAATTAGAGGCAGTAGAGATTCGGGTTGTGATGTTAGCTTTACACAGTGTTTGAGGAAGACGTATGCGCCATCGATAAGTGGGATGGACCGAAATCGTGGTACTCTATGGGGATCGGAAGGCCCGATTTCAAGGTATCTCGATGGCGATGAAAAGATAGGAGCGACGAGGATTGACGGCTCTGGCTCCAGGCATGAAGGTATGGCGAAGTGGCAAACTTTTTTCTTCTGACCTTAATCAATGAGAGATAGGTTTTTTAGAGGAGCAAAAAGAGAAATTAGGAAGAGGGAGAATGAAATTTAGGGGAGGGAAAATGAATTTAGATAGAGGGAAATTAAAATTGTAGGGATTTGGAGGTAAACTTTAATAATATTAACTAAATTAAAATCTCATGCATTTAAAGATTATATCTCTGACAGTTGTAGTTTTTCGGGTAGTAAACCTTCCCAATAAAGGGTTAGTTTTCTCTCCGAGTGTCGTGTCTCTCGAGGAGTGGACGAAGGGAATCAGTTTAATTACTCTAACTAGGTGAAGATTAGGATTGGTTTATGAAAGTCTTCTCGAAACGATTATAAAAGGAGCAGAGTAAAAATAGTAAATTAAGTTTACATAGTATAAGTAGAAATCTGGACCTAGGGTCTGGACATCATTCGGATCTATTTTATCCTATTAAATAAACAATTCAAATAATAATATTTCTATTACTACTCATCCATTTCTAGATTTGTACTTAATCCGTTGCACTTGAATATCATAGCCTTTTGGCATACAATATTTTCTCAATAAATAGCTAATTAAATCCTTCGAGTTTAATTAACTAAATAAGGCAAGAACAATAGATTAACCATTCCAACATTAATTTAACATCAAAAAATAAACAACCAAACTAGTCCAGACCCAGAGATCCGGACCCTAACTCATACTATGCAAACATAAATTAAAATATCATTTTATTAAATAAAGAAAACTTACAACCACCGTACAAGCGGAACAAAATAGATCTGGAGTTGAAATCTCCGAAAATACCTCAAAACTACTACTAAAACTAATATACAAGCTAAAAATGGAGACAGGATGTGTAAATCCCGAAGTTGGGATGGAATGGGATGATAAAAATGAGAAGAATCGTGCTGTATTTATAGGAACGAATCCAAGGCGTCCAAGTCCAAGCATCCAGATCTGGACGCATGAGCTGTCCCCGCAAACCAGATTTTACCACGTGTCATTCTTGGGCTGCAATTAAGCCAAAGTGTCCAACTCCCAAGCGTCCAACTTGGCCAAGAGTCCAAGTTGGACGCCTTGAGGCCTTGGTCCGTTGGGCTTTGCGGCTGTTTCGTGATTTTGGCCCAATTTCGCTCCGTTTTGGTCCCGAACACTGTTTTTGACCTCCCGAAAGCTCGTTCAAGCCCGAATCTTGATCCCTTGATGATTTATTCCCTTTTTCTAAAGCATTTGAACATAAAATGGATAATTTATGATGATTTTATGTGGAATCCCTATTTTTGAGTCTTAGAACGAAAATGAGAGTTTATCCATCAAAATCACATTTTATGAGATGATTAAATATCATTTACGTGCATTAACGTTTAGAATATGATGTAAATGATAAGAACGAAACGGACTTATCAATCTGGCAAATAAGAAACAACCTTGACAAGTAAATTGATTTTTGAATTTGATTTGATCTGTTTTTGTCTAATTCGATCTAATTGGATCTGATCTGATGCATTTATAGATTAGATCAGGCAAACAAGACACGACCTATATAATTAATTTTTTTTTTGAAGATTTGATTTGATCTTAATAGATTTGAATTTGATTTGATTTGATCTGATCTATTTTGGTCTCACTCAATCTAATTAGATCCGATATGATGCATTTAAGGATTAGTTCAGGCAAATATGACATGACCTATATAATTAAGTTGTTTTTTTAAGATTTGATCTGATCTTAATAGATTTGAACTTGATTTGATCTGATTTGATCTATTTTGGCCTGATTCAATATAATTAGATCCGATATGATTTTTTTAAATATTTGATATGATCTTACTAGATTTGAATTTGATTTGATTTGATTTGTAATTCGATCTAATTTGATCTGATCTGATGCATTTATAGATTAGATCAGGCAAAAAGGACACGACCTATATAATTAACTTGTTTTTTTCAAAGATTTGATCTGATCTTAATAGATTTGAATTTGATTTGATTTGATCTGATCTATTTTGGTCTGATTCAATCTAATTAGATCTGATATGATGCATTTAAGGATTAGATCAGGCAAATATGACACGACCTATATAATTAAGTTGTTTTTTAAGATTTGATCTGATCTTAATAGATTTGAACTTGATTTGATCTGATTAGATCTATTTTGGCCTGATTGAATCTAATTAGATCCGATATGATTTTTTTTCAATATTTGATATGATCTTACTAGATTTGAATTTGATTTGATTTGATCTGTAATTTGATCTGATCTGATATATTTATAGATTAGATCAGGCAAAAAGGACACGACCTATATAATTAAGTTGTTTTTTAAATATTTAATCTGATCTTAATAGATTTGAACTCGATTTGATCTCATTAGATCTATTTTGTTCTGATTCAATCTAATTAGATCCTGTAACGCCCCAAAAACATAGCCTAGAATTATTAATGAATAAATAATCAATTAATCAAATTTGTTTTGATTAAAATATATTATTGTTGGGCTTTGGGCCGATATGAAATGTGTTTTGACATCCAATATCAAAATCTGGATAAGTCTTATAGAGATAAATCCAATATGTGGACTATTTATGTGGTCTTGATTGGGAACCTGAGTACAGACCCAAATCAAGAGTAAATAAAGAATTCGTTTAGAATGTAAATATTGAAATGATTTCTTGAATAAATCATGAGAATAAATGATATGAATTAAATGGGAGAACCTTTTATGAGAAAGGTCAATTAAATCAATTTTGACTCTGTCAAAGTCAACACCCAAAAATATGCTGTCAGAAAAAGTATTTCAAATAAATATACAAATTATATCATTAAATAGAGTTTGACTATCCGATCGTAACAGTGTAAATGGATTTCAATTTGGATAAAGTTGGACCAAAAAGTGTACCCCAATTGAGGTAATTTAATCAAACTAAACTAGAAAGAATTAAATCAGCCGCCCCCTCCACTCACCTGAATCAACGGAGACCAGAGCTACGCAACTCCCTCTCAGGCTTATATATAGAGGTATTCATTCTTCATCATTTCCACACCAAAATCATCCCAATAGATAGAGGAGAGTTTGTAGAGTTGAGAGAAACTGTCCGGAGAGCTTCCCGTCGCCGGAGCAAGCCGTGGTGTTCACTGGAAGTTTCGCCGTTTTTTCCGCCGGAATCATCATTTCACTTTGAAGTAAGCCCGTAGATATATCTAATGACTAGAATGTTCGTATAGATCGTTTTTACGTTCATAAATGGTTATTTGGTTGAGTTTTGTGTTTGACATGCTTGAAGAACCAAGAATCATAAACTTTGAATTTGATGTTAAAATCACGAATTAATGATACCAAAATGGTCTATGAACCTTGGAGAACATTTCTATATAGTTTAATTGACGTTTGGTAACTAAAAATGATATTTCCGAAAATGGACCGAAGGTAGAAGACGATGAACAGTAACCTGAAACTACACTGCTTGGATCGATCACACTGCCCTGATCAATCACACTGCCTTGATCGATCACACTGCAATCCCCTAAAATTCTGATAAAAAAATTTGTCTGAAAATGCTATTTTTGAGCTCCAAAATCCTTTTTTTTGATACCAATTAATTATGAACAATATAAATATGATTTTGTACAATAAAAATGATGTTTTTGACATATAGAACATTATGTGACGCATGACGGTAAATACGGGTGTTAACACTTGAAACTAGGCCGCTATTTGTTAATAAATGTTATTATGACTATTACAATGAAACCTTGATAATATCCTGAATAAATGGATATTATAATGGATAATGGAATATCATTGATAATAAATATTGATTATGATGATCAAATGGACGACCCGAGTAATTATGACTACATAACGATCATGATTTTATTATGACCAATAAAAATGTATGGAATTGAATGAAAGAATTGTAAAGATAAAATTATGAATAGATATGTTTGTTTGACTATCTTGAACTAAATTATGATTATGAATTATTAAACCATAATTCAAAATGAATACATTGATCAACAAGAAAATGATGTGTACTGTTAAGGATATCTAGAAGACTTTAAGATATACCTATTAGCTAATTCATGTTAAGAATATCTAGAAGACCTCTAGAATAGATCTTAGGATGAAATTATGAAAACATAAATAGTTGATGAATTCAATAAAAATGTATAAACGGGATTCGTAGACCAAACTAGAGGATTACTCGTTTGGGAATGTCCGATCCAATGTTGATCAATCGCTACGTTGTTGTTGCCTTAACCGATTACGGTTAAGTGTCCGAATCATTTTCCTTAAACTAGTGATAGTTTAAGTGTCTGATTGCCTTAACTGACTACAGTTAAGTGTCCGAAATCAATTGCCTTAAACTAATGATAGTTTAAGTGTCGGATTAATAATTGCTTTTAAGAATGTGGTTATGGAAATTATGATTTGGCCTTAGACTAAGAATAGCTAAGCACATTATTATGATCTAGCCTTAGACTAAGAATAGCTAATAGCGTTCTTATGATCTGGCCTTAGATTAATAATAATTTAAGAGCACTATTGAAATAGTATCTGAATTAAATAAAATGCGTTGATATGAAGTGAACAATACCAAAACTGTGAATGTCTGAAATGAACATTGTGTGCATGATATCAAATGATTTGATTATGAATTTAGATTCAGTTTATATGGATGTTCGACACATTAGATATGCTTACTCAGCTTTACCGCTGAGCGTGTAGTGTGTTTTATTTGCTACACGTAGGTAAACAGAAAGATTAATGTTATCCCGGCGGCAGATGGGGCGAGATTGTCGGGATGGATGTGACAAGTTTGAAATGATTTATGATATGTCAATATTAAATTTGCTTCCGCAATATTATTGAATACTCCGTACTGTATATGTATGAAAAATATTATTGCGATAAATAAAGGTGTTTGAAAAGTGTTAAATTTTTATACGATTACCAAGTTAATACTTTAGTCCGAAAGGGGCTGCAGACCTAAACGGATTGGGGTGTTACAGATCCGATATGATTTTTTAAAATATTTGATCTGATCTTACTAGATTTGAATTTGATTTGATTCGATATTTTTGAAGATTTGATCTGATCTTATTGGATTTGACTTTGATTTATTCCGATTAGATTTTTTTGTCCGATTTGATCTAATTAGTCCGATTGGTTATATTTAAAACTCTTTTAATTTAATCTAGTATAATTTGATATGATGAGATCTGATTTCATTAGATATCATCTAAACAACATATAAACATGTTAAATTGAGACGTAGTAGCTCACATTAAATATTCAAGCAATAAGATCTGATTGAATTTGATTTGATCTTAAAGCATCTTATATGATTAAATCTAATATGCTAGATCTAATTCTAGTTATATTTAAAAACTCTTTCTAATTAGATATAATCTTGACTGATCTAGTTTTTTATGATAATCTATTCCTTAAAGAATTAAAAGATATTTTAGAGCATTCTAATCGTCTCAATATTACGAGACTAATCTGACTCTATTTGTAAAGGTTTAAATTAAAGGAATGATCGGTACTAATTAAACGAAAGAATTAATACGGACAAGGAGGAACCGGTAAATACTTGTCGAATGATAATAAAAGTTATATCGTTGGATAGGGATCGACGAATCGAATCCAATGGTGTGAATAGTGTGTTTCACTTAGGCACGTTATTTTAAATTTCGAGGTACAAAACCCTAGGGTATATAAAATGATTTTTGCGGACCAGGTGGAACTTATAAATGTTCAGTTATTGAATATAAAAATTATATCGTTGGGTAGGGATCGACGAATCGAATTCAACGATGCAAACGGATCTTAATTCGGAACAAGTTAGCCTGAAAAGTGTGTTTCACTTAGACACGTTATTTTAAATTTCAAGTACAAAACCCTAGGGTATATAAAAGGATTTTTAGCCTCTTTTTCCTTCTCCTCCTCGATCAAAGAATTCCGCCGCCCCTCTCTTCTCCGATCCCTACGACGAACTTCTTCTCCAATTCTCCCCAATCGGCGACGAGAGCAGCAGCGACAGCAATCCCCGGAGACCCTCAGCGAACGTAGTGATTCAGACCCACAGCGGCAAAATTCCGGCGATTTGGCATATACGGTGACACAGGCAGCGAACGACGGTGACAGGGAATGACCTCCATTGTTCCGGCGATGGACTCGAGCAGAAGAACGCAACGGTTGTTGAACACCTTTTTCCGATTCACCCCTTTTTCTTCTATTTTTTATCTCGTTTCTATTTTCTTGTGAATTTTTGAGATTTGAGCTTGTCTCAAGCAAATGCTGTTGACTTTAAACTCAATTTTCCTATTTTGGAGCTAGACTTAAGCGAACTGAAGGTAACCCTTTCGTGGTCCTTGTTCATTCGGTGACCATGGACATCGGTTTTCACTTTGATTTATGATCAATCAAAGGCCAATTTTCTGGGGGTTTATGAGCGACCTGGGTTGTTGTTCAAGGTCTAATACTGGATTGCAATTCCATACAATTTGAGCAATGTTTCTGAATCTGGCGCACTGTTCACAGTGAGCGTTGAAGTCTGGAATTAACAAGGTTAGAGCATTCATTCTTCTTATTTTTAGAGGTTGATATAGAATTATGACTAGGGCAATTACAATAGTGTAGCTGAGCATCAGACACTAGTGAAGCTAAGGTTGTTGTGGCTAACGTACATGTTCGACTTTTGCACGAATGTGAATAATAAGGAGTGTGGGTTTTAGGTTAAGTTTGGCTTTGTTTTCACATCATGATGAAATCAACGTAATTGTTATCATGGTTGTTTTTAGGCAAACAAAAGCTTTCCTCATTAGGCTTTTCTTAATGCCGCATACATATTACAAGTAAATGTGTGCATTTTGAGATTTTAAGGTCATGTGTGTGTTTTAGCATACTCATAGGTTAATCTTCTATTGTAAATTTCACAGGCCATAACCTCATCACGGTCAAAGAAAGGAGATTGATTTGTGGCTGATATTAATATTAAGCTTTAGAGCAAGAAGATTACCACAGATATCAAAGTTGATAGCAACTCAAATGTGAGTCTCTCCTTATACATTTGATTCACATATATATAATACATGTATCGCTTAGCATGGACCAGGAACATTTGATTACACACATTTACTCTAATTGCTTGTGGAAGTCAATTTCATCAAAATGAGATTTTTCTATAGTGTGTTGCCTTTCTATAGTGTGTTGCCTTTGAGCATGCCTAATTTAGTTATTTGTCCCCTCAATAATATCCAGCATTGAATGAGGGGTATACAGAGCTTCAATTCTTGACGCCGTTGTGACCATGATAATCTACAAGCAAAACATATACAGACCTATAGTGAGTTAAATCTTTAAAGGACAATTAGAATGTGATTTTAATTATGTAAATATTAAATTATTGGATGCTATTAAGATTTTGGGTTGTATGTATTTAGATATTATTCAATATATTGTACATTTTGGAATTTATTTTTGTTTCATGATCAATATTTTAAAATTGAAATAAAGTTTAATTATTAAATATAATTGTAAATTTAAAAATAGTAGTCTTTCAAAAAGCTTTACAATATATTTAAACAGTTTTCTAAATCTTTAAAGGACGACTACACAAACCTGTAGTGTTAATAAACGTTAGACAATTTAAACAAACAGTTGTATGAAATACAACAAATAATGTTGTTTACATTTTAAAAATACAACACATAATAGCAGTTGTTTTATCCAAACATACTTAGTTGTCTTCGGCGCAGTAGTCTGATTTATAATCTAACTAGTGTTTAAAATGATAGTTTGAATATTTCAAGGACAAATATAAAAAAGCGCAGTGTTATTGAGCACAATACAACTGAAAGAAACGGTTGTTTAAAATACATAAAATTAGTAGTCCATCTTCTAGAAATACAACAAAAGATAATAGTTGTCTAATCTTATTTTTGTTTAGTAGTCTTCCGAGTAGCTGTGTGATATATCTTTCAATTACTTTTTAAAGTAGATGTCTATATTGTTGAACGACAACACAAGGAATTAGGAGTCTAAAGTTAAAAACAACAGTAGTATTCATTATAGATAGACAACAAAAAATCACAGTTCTCTTTAACTCTAAAAAACAGATGTCTTACTCATACGGGGACAACACTAAAAAGTGGTACTCTAAAACATTACAAAACAGGTGTCGTCAACCATTTTACACAATTGTTTTTGAACAATAGTATGTAAATATATCAGACAGCTGCTCGGAAGACTACTGAAATCAGCACCGGGAGACTACTAAAAGAAACAGTTGTCAGCATCTGTTTTTGACGTAGTGATCATAAGTGTTAAAATGACTTAAAGAAGTATTTTAGACATCCAAAAATATCAAAAATTTGACTCGCAAACCCGAACGGTCCACGTAAACGGTCAACTGTCGCGTTAAACATCGAAACGGAGCACGACTCTCAGCCAAACGGTCGACCGCCGGTGGCCAACGGTCGACCGCTGCCTGCCCAGCCGAGGACCGCCGTTCCCATCCAATCAAAAATGGTCGACCGCCGGTCAACCGAGGTCGACCGTCACGATGATCCGCCAATCTGACGCGATGAAGATCAAGGTCGACCGCCGTGCCAAACAGTCGACCGTTCCGAGCCCCGTAGCTTATTTAAATGATATTTTTATCATGTTTCACCCAAATAAATTAGTGTATGATTACATATTCATATTGTTCACAAATTGTTCATATCATATGATTCATTTCATCATCCATATTGAAACATATCACATCATATGCATGCGTAAGAGATCATGCCTCGTGCGTCTCTTATAGTGTGATTATGCGGGACTTAGCAGTCCGACATCACTGACCGGGCTTAGTGTACGTACATGGTATTCAGGCTTTCGAGTACCACCCCTATTTTTTTCTAGTCTCCTCTCGTGAGACTAAGGTGGCATGAGTTCGTCGTACCAAATGGGCGAATCTCATAGTGCAAGGTCGTTCCTTGTGGGTTAGAATCATACAGCATAAAATCATCATCAAGTAAAACATCAATTACGTATCATTATTATCATCTTGAACATACATGCTATATTATGTCATATCATGAATAATTGTATGTCTACTTGCTATTCAACTTGGAATGGTTGTATTAGCGTATTCCTCAGCTGACGCTGAGCGTGTAGTTTGTTTTACTTGCTACACGCAGGTAACAATACTGATCATGGAGCCCATCCCGGAGGTCAATGAGAGTGATGAGATGTACAGACTGGTGGACCACAACTACTATGCTTTATTTAAATAAATACCTTTTCGGGCAAGTTCCCAGAAAATGTAATACGACTTAATTATGTTTTACATTTAAGCTTCCGCACTGTTTCAACGTTACTCTGAAATTTAATATTTGAATTTATCATTTATATTAATATTTAATTAGTTTTCGATTATTCCTCAAATTATCATGCGTAATTACCATCATGGTAACTACTCCGGTTCAAATAATCTAGATAATCGGGTTATTCGAGTTAGGGTGTTACACTTTGCATCCGGCAAAGTCAGAATCTGAGTATCCCACTAACTCAAATGAGCTGCTCTTAGCATACCATAAACCCATGTTTTGAGTTCCTTTAAGGTATCTAAGAATCCTTTTGCTTGCAATTAGATGACTTTCCTTTGGCTTGGATTGAAATCTAGCACAAACACCTACTGCATATGAGATATCCGAAAGACTTGCAGTAAGGTAGAGTAGAGATCCAACTATTCCTCTGTAGAGAGTTTGATCAACATCCTTTCCATCTAAATCCATATCAAGTTTGGTGGATGTGCTCATGGGGACAGAAACGGGTGACTTCTAACCAACTTTGAACTTCTTGATGAGATCCCTTGTGTACTTGGCTTGATTGATGAGAGTTCCTTCACTTCTCTGCTTGATTTGTAGACCAAGAAAGTAGTTGAGTTCCCCCATCATGCTCATCTCAAATTTTCCTTGCATGAGGGTGGAGAACTTGGTGCATAAAGCTTCCTTAGTTGAGCTAAATATGATGTTGTCTACATAGATCTGGACCAATAGAAGATCTTCACCATCTTGTAGTAACAAGGTCTTGTCAATGATTCCTTTGATGAATCCATTGTCTATTAGGAATTGAGATAATGTATCATACAAATCTCTTGGTACTTGTTTGAGTCCATAAAGCAACTTCTTGAGTCTATACACTTGATCACCCTTAGTGTGTAGCTCAAATCCTGGAGGTTGTTCCACATAAACTTCTTCCTCTAGTTTCCATTGAGGAAAGCACTTTTGACATCCATTTGATAGACTTTGATGTTCTTGTGAGCAGCAAAGGCTAGAAATAGACTTATAGCTTCAAGTCTAGCAACTGGAGCGAATGTTTCATCAAAATCTATACCTTCTTCTTGACAATAACCTTTGGCTAGGCTTTGTTTCTGACAACAACGCCATTTTCATCAATCTTGTTCCGGAAGACCCACTTTGTCCCAATGACATGCTGATGAGTAGGTCTTGGAACAAGTTTCGAGACATCATTTCTGGTGAATTGATTGAGTTCTTCTTGCATTGCATTGATCCAATAAGAATCAGCTAGAGCTTCTTCAATGCTCTTTGGTTCCACTTGTGAGATGAAACATGCAAGCATGGCTTCTAGATTCTGTTGAGCGCTCCGGGTGCGAACTCCTGATTGAATATCTCCAATGATTTGTTGAGGAGGGTGATCCCTTAACCAACGAGGATTGTGTTGATTAAGGTTGACTGGTTGATCTAGCTCTGCTTCTGGTTGAAGGATGGAGTTTGTTGGTGTTTCTGGATGGATTGGCACCTTATCACCATTTCCGGAATTGTCGCCATGTGATAGATCCGGGATTTAGGAAGACTGGCCATGATTTCCGGTAGACTCAGTGCAGTCTGAATCCGGACTTCTCCGTGAAGTCTTCACTGGTAGACTTCCGAATGGAATGAACTTCGTTGGCTTCATCATATCTCCTTCATTGACTTCTTCATCTTTTTCTGAGAGATCCAGAACCTCATGATCATGCTTTGATGGCTTGTCAACGACATGTTTTTCATCAAAAACAACATGCATTGACTCTTCAGTGATCATGGTTCTCTTGTTGAAAATTCAGAATGCCTTGCTAACCAGAGAGTATCCAAGGAAGATGGCTTCATCTGATTTGTCATCAAAAGTATTCAGATGGTTCTTCCCGTTGTTCAACAGCACTTGCTCCCAAAAATGTGGAAATATGATATATTTGGCTTTCTCCCAATCCATAGCTCATAGGGAGTTTTGTTGTGCCTTTTATATATCATACTCATATTTTGAGTATAGAAAGCCGTGTTTACAGCTTCAGCCCCAAACTTTTTTGGTAAGCAAGCTTCTACTAGCATTGTTCTTACTGCTTCCTTCTTTCAGCTACATCATTCTGCTGTGGTGTCCTTGTTGCGGAGGTCTGATGAAGAATTCCGTTTTCTTCACAGTAGTGAATGATGATCTCATTCAGGAACTCTGTGCCTTTGTCAGATCTAATCTTTTAGATGGTCTGACTTGCTTGATTCTGAATCAGCTTCATGCAGTTTGTGAGCTTCCCTTGAGTTTCCTTCTTGCTATTGAGGAAGATTGTCCACGTGTATCTTGAATAGTCATCAACTACTACTAAGACATACTTCTTTCCACTTAGACTTATTGGAGTAACAGGTCCAAATAAATCCATGTGGATAAGACTTAGTATCCTTGTAGTTAAGTGTGCCGGTTTCGCCTTGAAAGTAGACTTGACTTGTTTTCCTTTTTGACAAGTCCTTCCACTAACCCTTCTTTGGACAGCTTGTTGAGGGTTTTGAAGTTGAGATGACTCAACCTCTTATGCCAAAGCCATAGAAGGTTAGTGTCACCTTTGCAAATTAGGCAGTCTTCCTTGACATCTTCTCACATTACTTCGTAGATGTTTCTGATTCTCTTCCTAGTGAGATTGACTTCATTTTTGGAGATGCTCTTGAGGGATGCCATGCCCTTGCAGAATTCCAGAGAATAACCTTTATCACAGAACTGACTTATGCTTAGAAGGTTATAGTTGAGCCCTTCCACATAAGATACAGCCTGGATGGTTAGTCCCTTGTACACCAGATTTCCTAGCCCCTTTGTAAGGCCGAAATCATTGCTTCCTCCAAAAGTAACTCTTGGACCATCATAGGGAATTAGATTGCTCAAAAGACTCGCATCACTCGTCATGTGTCTTGAACAGCCACTGTCCAAGTACCAGACACCTGGGTACTTAGTGGCTTCCTGCATTAAGTGGAGGAAGATTTTGGTACCCAATTCAGTTTGGGTCCAGAATAGTTAATGGTGTGTGTCCCCACATCAAGTTTGAAGTTGTAGGAAATTTTCCTTGCAGCTCTAAACTTGTTGGGGTTGTAATCATAGTTGTAGGCATAAAATTTCCTACATGCAGGTGGTGCAAATTCATGTTTCCTCCTAGTAACTTAGGTTGATGAGGCCTATAGTTTTGTCTAAGTTGTGCATAGTGTGGTCTGTGATGGTTGTAAGCATACTTAGATGGAACAAACAATTTTTGCCGTGGAGGATAATGATGTCTTGGCATTATTCTCCACTCACTATCTCTCGGAAAGCTTCTTCTTGCCCCATAATGAGTATAGCCTCGTGTGTATTGGGGGTTAGAAGGCTTTCTTCTGAGATTATTTCCTCTTTGAGGTTTGTCAAGCTTCCTATAGTTTTTAGGAGGGACAACGTGTTTGGGAACCTTTGTTGGTTTTTCCTTTTCCTTACCCTTCTGCTCGTTGGGTTTGGCAGTAGGTTTGGGAGGAATGAATGTTGTTCTCCCTTTCCTTTTGGAACTGGAGGGGTCAAACCCAAGTCCTTCACGACCCTTCTCTTTGGCCGTATTTAGAAGCTTATCCACAACTTCTTTGGACTTTAGTATCCCTAGTTCCTTGTTGAGGGATTTTACCTTTTGAGAGAGAGATTCATTCTCAACCTTAAGATGAGTGATCTCAATGAGTCGACTTTTCCGACCTTCAGCCAACTTGAGATTCTCATCACTCAATAGCTTGTTCTCCTCTTTCAAGGATGAGTGTTTGAGATTTATCTCCTGAAAAAGACTCTCAGAAGTGAGTATGCTTTCATAAGAAGACGAGCAAGAGGTTTGTGAAGTTACCTCTTGATCGACATCATCTTTGGCCATGAGACAGAGAATGTCATCTTCTGACATTGTCCAACGATCTTCATGGTTGGACTTCTCAGTTCTGCGCTCCATGCAGACGAGGGCTTCCTCATCCGAGCTTGAACTGGATGACTCGTCACTTTCAGCTGCTACCATTGCCTTCTTCTTCTTCTCATTCTTTTCTCCTTCTCCGTACTTCTCCACTTTTGGGTATGGACATGCTGACTTCCAATGACCAAGCTTCCTGGAGTTATAGCATAAGTAAGATTCGGGGGGAGAGTTACTTACCTGTAGCTTTCCCTTGGAAGGCCTTCTGGTGGAGTTAGTTTTCTTGAAGAACTTCTTCAATTTCCGGAATTGCTTGACCATCATAGCGAATTCCTCTTTGTAGTTCTCCGTCTTTGAGCTTGGTGGTTGGCTGGTGGAAGGAGTGTCACAGCTCCTTGGACATGTCCCTTCGCTTGCTGTGACTCTGGGATTCGTCATCAGTGCCGTGGGATAAGGTGTGACTTGTTCTTCCTTCTTATTCTTCTCCAGCTCATGCTCATAGGTTCTGAGCTCGCCTAGGAGACCTTGGACAATGTAGTTCTCCAGATTTCTTCCTTCTTCTATTGCTGTGGCTTTGGTATACCACTCAGCTGGAAGAGATCTCAGCAACCTTACATTCTTTTCTTTGGGAGAAAGAACGTGGTTAAGTGATGCAAGATCATTTAAAATCTTGTGGAATCTTTCATCCAACAAGTCAAATGATTCTCCGGGAAGCATCTTGAAGCTTTTGAACTTCTCAAGCAGAACCTCTATCTTCTGCTTTCTCAGATCCCCTAATCCCTCACATAGCTTCCCAAGACCTTGTCATAATTCCATGGAAGTCTCGAGATGCTTGATTTTGGAAAAGGTGATGGGATCAAGTCTCTTGATGATGGCTGCTTTGGCGACGTTGTCCAGGTTATGCTTCTTGCAGTATCTATCGTCCCATTTTTCTTTGGGCTTTGGAATGTACTGGACTACGTCTGGATTCTTTGGATCCCTCTCAGGATTCTCTATTTGAATCTTTAAGGGTCCATCTTCAAGCACCGTCCACATGCAGGGCGTAGAGATGTGCTTCCATCATGATCTTCCAGTCATCATAACCTAGAAGAGAAAACTTGGGCAAACCGTGATCCATATTGTTCAGCATTGTGATCTCTTCTCTTTAATCTAAAAGCAGATAGGGAGAAGTTTGCTCTGATACCAATTGGTGGTCCCCTAAGTGGTGAGATACAAAGTCTAGAGGGGGGTGAATAGACTTTGTTACAAATTTAAAACTTTTTCGTTTCTTTTTGAAAACGTGAAATGAGTGTTAATCTGAAGTTCTTGTGAACTTAGATTGTGTGCGGAAGTTGGTGGGTTATTGGAGCAGTAATCAATATGGATGCGTTAGTTTTCACAATTAATATAAGTGCTAATATAAGTAAAGATAAGAGACAGAGACATGCAAACTTTAACGAGGTTCGAAGGTGGGGTAATCCTCGGAGACACGACACTCGGAGAAAACTAACCCTTCATTGGGAGGGTTGACTTACCGAAAAACTCAATCATCAATTACCTTCAATCTAACCGTTGAAAATCAAGAAATTGATTTTTCCTTACCAACGAGTAGAATTTCTTCATTCATGACTTAGATAAATTTCTAAGTCCTTTCTCACTTGTCCGCTTTTGAGAGTTTCGGTCTTCCTTGAGACATCCGATTCTTGGCTTGACAATTCCGGATAAGTCATTTTTATGCTTCCGGGTGAGAAAGTGATCCGCGCTAGTCTTCGGATCCGGATGACTTAGCCTTCAGCGGATTGTAGCGAGACTTCCGGGTATCATTGAGCATTCACTACAAAAAAAGAAGGCAATACCGACAGGGGTCAATATGTCGCTAATGGTTAAATATCTGTCGCTATTCGCTTTTACCGACAGATAATTGTCTGTCGCTAAGCTATCGCTAAAAACTCCGTCAGTAAAAGTATTACCGACAGATAAAATATACTGTCGCTAAAATAGTGTAATAGCGATAGACCAAAGATGTCGCTAAAAAAGAGAGAAGTACCGACAAAACATATATGTCGCTAAAAAAATGAATTACCGACAAAACAAAGTGTGGGTATATCCTTCTTTTCTGTCGCTAATACCTTGTTTTTACCAACATTAACATTTAATATAACTGTCGCTAAAAATTAGATTACTCACAAAAAAATGTGTGAGCCAAACATTTTTTTCTGTCGGTAATAGCTTATTTTGACCAACATTTACATTTATTATAACTGTTACTAATACCAACTATTTAAGTGATATTAAATAATTTCATTGACAGATAAAAAATAATATTCACACTTTTATTAACAACAATACATAATACGATAACATTTCAAAGGGTTACAACTAACCCATTTACTAGAATGTAAACCAACATCTCAAAAGTAGTTCATCATTTAAGCTAAAGTATAAACAGTCAAAGTGAACTAAAATAAAATACGCATCGATATGAAAGATATAGTCCAAAGCTTTAATGCTGATCATCACTGTATACATATCTTCAAGTTCATCGCTCTCAGCTTCATCATCTTTGTTCCATCGATCCTCATCATGACTTTTGTCAGTGGTCGTATTACCACCAGTTGTAAGGTCATCGATTTCAGATTGATTGGGTTTTGAACCCTATGCAAAAAAAGCACATGATAACGTAGTTACATATTTTGCACCAAATTTACCTTATACTCATACTAGGTGGCATAACTTTAAACTATATAATAAACTAAACAAAAATCAAATGAAATATATGGGTAGTTAACAGTAATAAATAGAGACTAACCAGGCTATTTAAAAGCAATGACACTACATCTTCTAAATTCTGGAGTCTCTCATTTGTTTCTTCATGCTCTTGTTCAATTTTCAATCTTTTTGCTTTCTCCTCCTTCAAGGCACACCGTTTAGTACAAGATCGAGGCACTCTCACTCCCATACCAAAGGTCTTTGCATATCCATTTTTGTCTTCTGCCACTATCTTTTCAAAAACTTCACCACGAGCAGGTGCACCAACTTCTACATCTCTCAAAGCAAAGATTTATAAACTAGAATTCACGATTAAGCACATAGGCATCTAGGAAACACAAAAATCAGCTTGAATATCAAGGAAAAATTGCACAGAATTTTTTAAATGACACTTATTAAGATCAGATTTTTCTTAAAATCGGAACTTTAAGCATCAAAAACATCAAATAAACATCATGAGATGCGTATAAATGTTGTCCCTAAGAAAGATATATCAATAATATTCCATACTTCAAGCAACAAAGCACTCTAAAGGACCAAAAATCAGCATGAGTACTACAGATTTTTGAAAAATCAGCAAGTACAAATCAGTTTTTTTTGCATATTTAGCTTTTAAATTATTCAAAACCAGCACTTTAAGCATCAAAAACATCATATAAACATCATGATGTGCTTATAAATGTTGTCCCTAAGAGAGAAATATCAATAATATTTCATACTTCAAGCAACGAAGCACTCTAAAGGACAAAAAAATCAGCATTAGTGCAGATTTCGGAAAAATCAGAAAGTACAAATCAGTTTTTTTTGGAATATTTAGCTTTTAAATGCTTCAAAATCAGGATACAATTCACACATAAGAAATCCATACATGTTGTACTCATAAAAATATGAACAAATCAACTTTCTGGTATTATGCACATCAAAGTTACACACTTATCAATGCATACGGTAAAGGTCTTTGATAGGAGTGTATTTTAACATCAATGAAATACTCCGTACAATTTATATACTTCGTACATTGAAACTTGTTCGTGTTAAACAACCAGGAAGTATAATGAATCAAAAACTGTAAATAAACTACCTGGTGGTAATATGTAGGCATCCGTGTAAGAATAATAAAATTTCCCCAATTGTGACAGAAGTGAGACACTATCAAAGCCCAATCAGGTGGTTTGGACAAAATTTGTCTCCATGGAATAGATTTTACACGTTCTTTGGAAACACTGTTGCTAAGACGAAGAAGGTGAGGAAGTGTAGCCGACATACCTGATTAGGGTGTGACGATTGAAGAACACGCTCAGATGAAGGAGACGAAGAGGAGTTCCGAACTTCCGGCCGCGTCGTAGAGGAGTTCTGAACTTCCGAGCTTCCGAGATGACTATGTCCTGTTCTCGATCGATGAGTCTCTGTGGCCGGCGGACGATGTCCTGTTCTCGATCGATGAGTCTCTGTGGCCGGCGGACGATGTCCTGTTCTCGATCGATGAGTCTCTGTGGCCGGCGGTCAATGTCCTGTTCTCGATTGATGAGCCTCTGTGGCCGGCGGTTTTAGGAGATTAGAATTCGGCACTGGTGGCGACTAGGGAGTATATTGAATGTATGTTTATGCAATTAGGTTTTATTATTATTATTATTATTATTATTATTATTATTATTATTATTATTATTATTATTATTATTATTATTATTATTATTATTATTATTTCCGTCTACGCCTTTACGGAAAGGTCTCGACGAGACACACAGGGGCCCGATCGGTCAAAGACCCATCGGGATCCATCTTCGACCCAAAATCTTGCTTTTTAGTTCGATTATTTTTCACTTTTGTCTTTTTGGGTTTTTCCTACTTATTTATAGTTTTTTACTCTAAATTAAGATATTTAAATTAAATTTTAATATTACTAAAATCAATATCGACAGATAAAACTTTGTTGCTAAAACTATAAACAATACCGACAGAAAAATATTTGTTTCTAATACTAAAAACAATATCGACAGATATATTTTTTCTTGCCAATACTATTAACAATACTGACAGATAAAGTTTTGTCACTAAAACTATGAGCAATACCGACAGATAAAATTTTGTTGCTAAAAAGATAACCTATAGCGACAGATATTACCCTTTGTGTAGATCAAATAGTTTTTTCCTTCAAATAATTTTATCTATCGGTAATATTCACTTTTTAGCGACAAATAAGATTTCTGTCACTAAGGATCTGTCGGTAATGCCCTCTTTTTTTGTAGTCATTCCGGATTTGAGAATTCCAAAGTAATCAGTCTTCTTTGAGAATTCCTTTCTTGTCTGCGACATTTCCGAGCGAGAGTTCCAATTTCCATATCACTGAGTTTGTTAAGTCTTCAGAGTGTGAAATCAAACCACAAAATGAAATGTCACAAGTTTTATTTGAAATCTCAAGAACTCGATTTTAACAATATTTCTAAAAAGAAAATTACATTGAGTATTGGGGGTGACCTTAAGTCCCTATTACAATCTAAATACATCATCATCAAAATCTAGAATTTTTCCCAACACTTTTTATGAATGCTTGGTTTTGAAATGTTATCATGTATGCTTGTTCAAATGCCTACTTATGTTTCTCTTCTTACCCTGCCTTTTTTATTGTTGCCAAAAGGGGGAGACTTCTTAGGGTTTCACTTTCATATGATTAGGGGGAGTTTTTCAAATCAAAACCTAAGTGCATACACTTAGGGGGGCTTTCTAAAAATTAAATATGCTTTCAAGTTATGATTATGCATTTGTTTATGATGTTTTGAAAGCCTTATTTGTCAACATCAAAAAGTGGGAGATTGTTGGCCTTGAATTTCGAACCCCGTACATGTTTTGATTTGTCAAATAAGCCTTCCAAAGATACTAACGTCTTTGCAGGAGAAATCAAACATCAAACCTATCCTAACTTGATTCGCCTCATTAAGAAGATATTATTACGAGCGTAAAAATTTAAATATAAGGGTTTTGGTAGCTATAATGATTCTAATATGCCATTGCACTTAAAATAATTTTTCTTAAAATTTCAAAAAAAAAAATCTTAGCTATGTTTATTTTGAGAAAAGGATCAAAAATCAAGTTTTGGAAATTTTTTTTAGACCAAACGGTACCTCAGTACCATTGATACGGTACTTCAATACCGTCCCGGTACCTTAAGGACCATATATGGTAGCAGATGGTGCAAGTACCAAAAAATAAAATATGCCTGAGACGGTATCCTACGTGGTACCCCCTAGCGTGTTAGACGGTACTAAGCTAACAGTCAGGTAGTAACGTACCGAGATAGGTACCGTTACTGTTGGAGTATTGTTCCTGATTTTCATATTCAAATTTAGTTAACCGTAAATCACTCTCCAACATCTCTTAACGGATCCTAATCACTTTTAACCTTCCTAAACGAAGTCTCATTTTTCATACAATAACATTCCATAAAATTCTAAATCCTTCTTGTACTATTTCTGAGTGTTCTTAAGCTTTGTTCCATATTTTTCATCACTCTTTTAAGTT